ACTTTATTTCAATAATTCTACGAACGTGCTTTATCCAGAGATGGATCTAGCTGTTATCTTCAAGGTTTCTGGATCAGCAATTACCAAGTGCAGATTCTACATTCTTAATTGAAGAAATGTCCGAAAGTGCATTTAAGAAGCTCAGCAGCTTACACGACGGAAGCTCTTGGCATCACTTTTTTGCAAGTGGTGAGGTATGTTGACAGAATCAGTATAGAACGGAACGTATTGTTATAACCATCACAAGTTAATGAAACGAATTTTCAGCCATTTGTTGTCCCTCATCTTTATTCAAGTGTCTATAACATATACCGCATTTTTTAAATATCCCAATATAAATTGACATCTCCTCTAACTTGTATCCGCTTAGTAAAAATCGATATAAAAAGCTGTAGGATCTAATATGAAGTTTTTCGTGAAATGTCTTTTTTTCTCAGAAAAGTTGTGATTTCTAATGAAACTCTAGGTATCTTTTAGTAAGCATGAATGTTGCTATTTTTCAGATTCCAAATACATATATGGTTTGTTATACTTACTTTCATTACTTTATCCAAAAACTTAAAATTTGAATGCCATTTAATCATGTGTATCCGGATTCACGGCCGGCTAGATGCAAACTGGTTTTTACCCGGATACACATGAATGACACATGAAATTAAAGTTTGCTGCTAAATATTGAGAATAGTTATTACAAACCATATACGTTATATTTAGAATCAGAAAATAGCGGCTATCATTTTTACTGAAATATACAGGATGTTTGGTACATGAACCAACACAATTTTTAAGCGATTGGAGACGCTATTAGATGATTTTTGATGGAAACCGCAATTCTCTAAGAGCTACGGTTACCATTTTTCGTTTTTTTTTTTTGCCGAATTACCTACAATTGAGCATAAATATCGTAATAACTTTTTTGTTTCAAAATAAACGTGAGTCTGTTCTGTAATGTATACTCAATCAGATCAGATAAACAGTTCGTGCAAATTTTCTCAAACAAATGACTTATGACCTTCCAAAGTCCGAAATTCGATTATAAAAAAACTACACATTTTTTCAAACCTAGTTTTACTTACAAAACTGCAAAATTGTAGGTAATTCAGCAAAAAAATACTAAAAACGATCATCTCTCGGTAACCAAACACCCTGTATAGGGTGTTCATATTAAAACATATAACTTTAATCTATAGCGCGTTTCTGATATCTTGTATATGAAAAAGATATTGTATGAAGTACCTTGCACCTGTACTTAACGTTTGTAAACAGATGGTAGACGGACAGCCATGCGGATCTTTAAAACAAACGATTCAAATGTTTAAAAAAGATCAAAGAAGCTTTACTTCTTCGACTCCTTCGAGCTAGAAGTTTCTTTGTAATGCAGGTGCTACAATATTTGTAATGGTCAATCAAGCCTCCCTGAAAATTCCGTGACACTAGCACAGTTGGTTCGCTTTTGATGGCAGAAAAACACAGAGGTCAAAAATCTACGACAAAATGTTATCATGTCAAAACCGTCTGGTGGAACGTGGTCGAAGAGGTGATATGATCCTGCTGTAGTAGTGCTAGGAGTGGTGGTGGGGGGGCGAATCCTGGCAACTAGGCCGCGTTTGACCCTTTTCGCTGACCTTTTAGTACCAATTCAGAACTATTCCATAGGCCATCTACTAACAACTGATTATTAAATAAACAGTTCCGGCGATGCAATGTATCTATGTTGATCTTGCACCAATCTGGCGAGATATAGACATCACACAACACAACATTCCATGGCACAAAATTAGCTTCCGAGGCGGGATTCGAACCACCAAGCCTTCGGATCAACCGATTAACTATCTCTATGCGCTAACCATTCAGACACCCAGCACTCTTGATCATGGTCCTGATAGATCGAGACGATGTATTCAACCGGCGCGGGTATTACGTATCTTGTAAAGTGATACTATTGTGATTTTTTAACGTTATATTTTTTTGTGACATTATGTAGGTTTTTCTACAAGATCATAACTTAGCACTAGCTGATTGACACGTAGTGAACTCGTTTTGTAGATGTATGTGTTGCCTAAAGGTCATGAGGCTTCAGTTATCAATATTTGGCTCTGATGTGATGTAAAATCTGCTTCAGATATGGCATTACTGGAGATAACGGCAAGGCACAGTGAGGATTTGTGTTCTAATAAATGTGTTGATGATAATTCCTTCGGATTCTTATCTCAAATACACTTACTTGAGATTCAAAGCTAGCGCATCCACTTTTTCTAATCCATTCTGGAAATTACATATGCAAATTTGCTGAATTTCAAAAATAAGAGAGATAAGAAATAATTGTATTCACTGTACACTGTCGGATTACAAATCATAAAAATGCTAACAGTATGTAATTACAAAAAACACGGGCGCCGTAGTGATTTCCCGGCTTTTTAAAACACAAAAAATGTAAAAAACCGTAATTGATAACTTTAAACATAACCTGTCTTCCGAAAGGAATAACCCGTCCGGCACAGCTAATAGATATACTTCGTTGGCGGCATATTCAGTAATGATTTTCTCACACAGCAAATATCACTGATTTTATACACACTCAGACCAATACACACAATCATCCAGTTGCGATCTTGTTTTACAAAACGAATGCAACCAACAAAGCGAGTATGGGTGTAGTTGAGCCATTCCTCTATAGACACTCAGAACAATCCTCGTGGGCAAACGTGGAATGACTGTTTGTACCCTTAAAACCACCTTTTTTTTTATACTCCAACTACCACGAAGGCCTAAGGCCTAAGCACCCATTGGGCACCGTGGGACTATATAGAGGGATACAGGGGAAAGGGGGAACGCCACACGGACTCTGGTGAGGTAACACGTGTGCATGCAACATGCACACATTCTGGCTCCGCCTACAAGATCCGCCGGGTAGTACCTCCGCGTTCGACAGTCAGAGACCGTCTACCACCTACGGACAATCACAACATCCATAGCCAAGAGAAAAATTTCTCCTGGGACGGGACTCGAACCCGCACTGCGCACGGCGACTGATCAGGAGACCGAAGAGTCTACTACTGCAGCCACCGCTGCTGCCTAGTCTGCAAAATGACATTTTATAGGTTTTTTTGACATTTCATAGTTTTTTTTTTGAAGTTTTATAAGTTTTTTACTTAATACCCGTGCGGTATCCCCACCATCAAAATTAATGATCAACTAATTTGCAACTTGATTCCAACCTCTTTTTTGTAGTAGAGTTCCTCTAGGGTATTTAGTACTTCCCGGCATAATACTTGGGTCACGACAACAAATTCAAATAGGTTAGGAGCCAACCCTACATATTACATTGCATTGTTTGTCTCCAAATTTGCGAAATTACGAATATATTTAATTACAGAACTGTTAAAAAATTGACTCACTTTGATCGTCACTACAGGCTATCAGAATAAGAGGACAAATAAATCCTTGACTACCTATTCAAATTCTTTGGGTCACGCAGATTCTCCTCCAGGTTGTTATGACCGCTAAATAAAACCATTAGCGGCAAAACAAATAACGCGTCACTTGCAAGACAGGAAAATAGAATATGTATACCAACAGATACCAAATCAACATCATTTTTTACCCGACTTGGAATTTTATAAAAAATAAATGGCGCATTTTAAAAGAAAAATTGACCTTGAAATGTCTATCTATAGGACTACACGCTAAACGGCTTGGTAGATTTTGACATACCAGTAAGAGGTATATGTTTGTCTTGACGGTGCGCGACACTGGATATACCAAGATTTCATAAGAAAATGCCGGATTTTAATAAAAAACTAAACCCTAAAATTCATATTTCAGGGCTACAACTTGAACAGCTTGATGAATTTTGACATGTGAGGTGTGTCTAGATGTCTCTCGATACTGCAGTCCGGTTGTTTATATTTTTTTTAAATCTACTTCTTAAACTTGTTATTTGAAAAAAGGCCTAATGTCAGTAAACTTCGAAGATATGTGGTTTCATTTAGTGGCCAAAATGACATCAAGGTGAATCACCAAATTAACCACAGGGTATTGTAATAACTTTTTTCGAAATATTGCTTGCCTGGTGGAACATTACCACGAGTCTGGTAGGAAGTGAGCTATGATGGAAACGTAAACATATTTTCTACATTACGCCAACACAACAGAACCGATGGCATGTGTTAAAGTACAAAGAGAGCTTAAGGCTGCCATAGCACCCTAGATACCGGCGATAAGCAATCTCGAAACAAATAGGTTAAGTCTCTGGTGAGCGCTTTGGAGGTCTGCAGAATTTATCACAGCAGCACCTCCAGATTGTATAAGAAGAGCTAGGATATGTGGTTGGAATTTTGACTGGCCACAATTTTCATGCTAAAGTAACAAAACGAAATATAAATTGTGTTATTTTTATTGTTTTGACGTCTTTTCAAGCGCACCTTGTGTTAGTTTTGGTGGCAGTAAATTATGATCAGTAGTACTTAAATTGACTGATTCGTTGTGATTGTATATTGAAACTATCCTAATTACTTTATGCAAAACAACTCACATAAAGCCTCGGAGCGCCTAGGAAGCACAAATCAGTACGGGATACTTCTCTGTTGACGATATGGAATGCCACTAAATGACCATCTGTTACTTCTTGTCATGTTCCATAAGATGCCCAAGTCCATCAAGAATTTTGACTAGAACGTCTGTAGCTGGGAGTGTATAATTCAGCATTGCGAGCATCAAACATTAGGGAATTGAACCCTTACTCCTTCCAAATGAAAAAGTGTGTCCAAATAATACTCCGTCAACTAGGCTGTAACAGGAACTATCTATGTACGCCGCTTTGACGGTACTTCACGACGCTGCGCGGTACGGCGTCCCCCAAGGTCACTACGAAGGAGTACTCCGCTTACGTTAGTCACCCCTGAAGATGCAGCAAGCCGCAGCTGAGAGGAGCCAGAGGGGGCCGAAACACTTTCACTGAATGCTGCCCCCCACGTATGTATATATGCTCCGGATGATCATGGTGGACGCACATTCCTAAACCGCGATCAGTTGCGGTCTTATTTTTTTCTCTAGTGAGTGGTGTGAGTGACGAAAATGCGGAGGTTTATTGCAGTGGTAAGGGGTTTCCCTAGAAGGACGTGGTACTGCCAGTGGAAGTGCGAATTATTGGATTAGGGTTGAATAGGGTTGGGGTTGTGAAAGTAGTTGTAGCCAGCGAAGAATATTGTTTTGTCAAATACTATTTTCACTATTCATAATTAAATAGTGATATAAAGTTTGTTTAATTTGTAGCGTTGAAGTTGCCAGTAAAATCCCCCTAGGACATAGCAAATCTAGGGTTTCACCTACTCCTTTAGCTATGAGTTGCTTGTGTATTCGTTTTTCACGTTCTGGTTAACAATCCATAAACCGTCGATACGGCAACGCTGCTTTTATGCCTGAATGATCGTGTTCTACGAACGTCGTGACTGACAAGCACATTAGGTTAGACACTGCGGTTTGAGCATAACTTTGTAGTCAACATATACATGATCCTTGGAGTTTTAGGAGTAAACTTCAGGTTAGCAGTCAAGTTGCAGTTAACTTGCGATCAAAGAGGAGCGGTCATTTGCAACAAAACCCCATTAACTGCGGTTACGGAAACGGGGCCTAAGGGGGTCAAATTAGCTGTCATTTGCAGCAAAACCCCATTAACTGCGGTTTACCAGCTATCGAGGTTTTGAGATTTTTTTTGAAATCTTCTGACGTAACCGCAAAAAGTCTGCAAAAAATATTAATTTTCAATCACTCTTATGAAAGAAATCATTTAAAAAGAAATATTCCCGGTATTCTCAATTTATCAGAATAAAATATTTTTCTGTTTTCATTTCGAAAATGGAACAACTTTATTCCTATGGTACTAATGATATTGGGCTGCAATTTCGCTGAAATGATTGTCAGTTTATTAGCTTTCAGAAATGTATTAGCTGAGAGTCTAAAATACAATACTTCTGTCGCAACATGTCATCTAATTCCAACAATATTTCGGAAACATTTTATTGCTTAAATCCAGTTGATATGGACTAATTTATTCAAATAACTAATAGTATAACCCTCTTCCAGAAATAGGTCGAATTATCTGTCACCCTGTATAAAGTATTATATAATTTCATTAATTAAAATTGATAACCAGTATCCACCATTTCAAATTTTAAATAATAACCACTTTTCAACCACGTTTAGCCAACGAAATTTTCAATAGAATGAAATTTGTGATATTGAAGACAAGACAAAAAAAAATAGCAAATTATCTTTTGCTTGCTATAGTTATTATGACTTATTATCACTAGCATATTCAAAAATTCTCTCAACACCTTAGAGATGCCTATAAATTAAATTAAAATCTATAAATCATACAGTCAGTATCAAAAATCGAAAAAATAAAATATTGGGCTTCTTGCGTAAATCGGTCTATCTAAATTTATCAACTTTAAATATTAACAAGACAAAATAAAAAAGATACGCACCTGTTTTCAATATATTTGAAAAGCAGTTTCCTTCGGAAAATAAATAAATATTCTAAATAAGCTGTTTTTCAATTTCCTCAAGAAACACGATGACATTGGCTGAAAATTTCATGACATCTTATATCTTAGCAGCCTTCCAATAACACGTTAAGCTTTTGATACATAACTCTCTTAAACTTGACACAGTTACAGTACGTATTGAAAAACAACTTTTCATACATATAATACCCGCAAATATCCATGAACTGGAATGTAACAAGTTTGTGAACTGATACCTGCTGAAAGATTGAAGGTTAATTTGCTTTCGGGTTCGCTCAAATACACTTGAGAAATGAGATGAGAACAAAAAATACCAAGATTTTGCGCGTTTCAAGTCAATCTTTTTGTCAATCGCTGTAGTCAGCCACACACTGCAACTAACTTCTGGCTCTGTCGGAGCTATGCTTTAGCGGATTATGTCCAATGACTGTCAGTTTATTTAGATAACAGTCTGCAAAAAACAAGTATCTAACAAGTATTATTTACTTGCTTTTTTCAAAGGTCCTTCAAAGTATCTTTTGCATGCAGCTCCAATCCCTACAACTTAGCTAATCTGTTTCTTTATGAGGTGACTTTGGAAAGAAATTTTGAAAATCAATCTTCTTCAGTGCAATTTTTAGTTATGCCTTGTCATTAAGTTGCATGTTTGGACATCAAAAGCTACCTTATGGGTATCATTACAGACTTTATGTTACGCTAACTTAATCGTTCGATAGAATCATGCATTGCTCTTTACACAAATTTTCTTATTAATATGTTCCAAGATTCATGTTGATCTGATAAGCTTTGCAATTAAATCTGTCTCCGTGAATATTTATGGAAAAAAATTGGCGACATCGCTCAGATCTAAGCTTCGTTAAATCCTCATAAAAGCCAGACTATTTGTATGCAACTGCTTCCTGATGATCTAAGAGTGTTCGTGACTTAGAATGCGAAAGACAGTCGTTTAAACAAACAAAAAATTATACCGTCATTTAGATTCTCTCTAACTACCAAGCAGCTAGCGAGGCCTTCTGTGCATAAAACTTTCGAGATTACCGTGTAATTTCTCTTCTTTTTCGGCTATCCGCTTTCGGTCGTTCAAATTAAGTTAAAAGTTAGTATCATTAGGATTTTTACTTCCTACAATGGTTTGCTTTTTAATTCAGTGACTACGCGGTAATAAATTTTTATATCGTAAATGATCCAAACCCTTTAATTTTCAAAGTATTTCAGAAAAAGAAGAACAGAATAGAAAACTTGCTTCCAGCGATAAACAAAAAGTAGGTTTTCCCTTAGATTCTCATTTTGTCTGATATGATAATTTCCACATTTTTTAATCTTCTTTATTTCTCTTGTCTGGCGAATAAAATATTAGCATAGTTAGTCACACCTGAGAGCTCCTTACTTACACGAAATTTAAAGAATTATTGTTTATAACACAAATACATTCGACAGTTAATAACTAACACTAGAATAATTCATATATACTCATCTGGTCAATTTTTGTCTTGAATTGGGTTTTTATTATAATTTTATTATGATCCCTTACAAAATAGCGTTTGCGGCCTATTCTGCTTTATAGACAATGAAATTTTCCTTTGATTCTTACTCTTAAACTAATTTATTTGAACAATGTAGTCAATCGAGTTTTTTGGTAGCTAAATTCAAGCGTAGTAGTGACTGCATCTATGAAAAAATAAGATAAATATACGATGATACAAATTTACCAAAGTGCAAGTTATTTTTTGGCAGTTCGTCTTCAAAGTGAACCTCCACAAAACATGTTTCGTCATTGATTAACGTATCCTACCTAACACTATATTCGCACGTTCAAAACCGATCCGAGGTAAAATGAGATACCGTAGCACCATCTGTGAGAATTTGCCTCAGCTGTTTCTCTATTTACTATATAGCTATGACAAATTCTGATAAATAGCGCTACATATTCAATTTTATTTTGGATAATTTTTTAGACGTGCAAATATAGCATTATATTGTCTATCTTTAGGTAAAATACATTAACAAATGGTTTAATATGGAAGTTGTGTAGCTTTCTATTACAGACGTAGTGAGACAAACCGATCAATGAATTGATATAGAGGATTCTATAAAAGTGCTTCAGCTTTTGGAGAGAAAAATTAGAGTTTGGATCAAATTATCATACAGTTACAGAAATCGCTCATTTTGACAAATATTTGTAACACACGCATAACAAAATGGTTCACAGATATGAAAAAGAAAATAAGAAATAATAACTCTAGTGATTGTTATGTTCTTGATCTCCACTTTTTTATGTGAATTTGAGGAAAAGCTCATTTTAAATAAAAGATTATGATGCAAAGGTAAGAAGTGAATCAAAAAATTCATTGACTCTCAGAAATCGTTGCTGTTACAGTGTTGATTAGATGAGGAAAGGCTAAACTGATTTTCTATAGACAAAATCGACACGATATTCGCGTTCGCGTTCCCTCATTACGCCCATACTTGACCGCAGAGATCGTATTTTCTACAAAAGTGATCAAAATTATGACAGGCGATTAGATGAATTATTCAGAGAGATATTTACTGGAGGTGTGAGAGATATTTCAAGCTTGAATGAACTTTAACAGTTTTCACATATATCCAACTACATAATGAATCTCTTTAACGACCATCATAACAACTACTTTCCTCCTACCTAGTATTCGACATCTTCAAGCAATTGATAAAACGCTGATGTAATAATAATGTTTAATGTAATTGCGCAAAATCGACACTACTTTCTTCGAGAAAAATTATAATTGGTCAATTTGTTGGGAATTTCAATTCTAAACCGGCGCTGCGTACGGACAACACGTTGCTCGTTAGCCGGATTGTGACATTGCTCTTGAACTTTTGTACGATTCATCATGTAACGATTGCCGGAGGCATCTTATCCGTTTCGCACAAAGCTCGTAGCTATTATTTTTCTTCGCAAACTCTAACTGCAATGAAAAACAAATTGAGCCAGCTTTCTATGTAATCTTGCTTAATTTGGCCATACATATGCGCAAATGGTAAATCAGGTGCCATATTACGAATTTAAGGATTTAGAAGTGTGAGTAGGAGTTTGTTTTTTGGAACAACTTATACAAGCAAATGTTAAGGGATAAACCATTGTGTCCGACTTCGATAAATTTAAGAACGTATTGTTTAAGTTGCCCAGTAGATGGCGCTATTTGATGATAAATACTTTACTTGTTTGTTACGCTATGCTCAAATGGCTAATAGTGGAACATTTTTTGGTGAACTTTGGTGGCACATGATAATATACATTGTAATAACGTGTGTGCAGATTTTTTGTCGTTGAGTGAATTGGATTGGAGTGAGTCTAGTACTTTCAACTTGTTTGTACCACTAGTTTCCAAAAATCATTTTCATTCTCCGCCATGTATGTCCTTTACTTCGCACTTCCACATGTCAGGATCAATATTCATTTAATGATTGTATTAAACGGTTATTATTTTAACGTTATATTGTTGTATTGGATTTAACCTAACATGAGCATGAGTAAAATCAGTTCAGCATCATATATGTGAGCTCAAAACTCTGGAGTACCCATATACATATGTGTTCCTATGTGAACACCATAGCCCTGGTTCCATTCACCACTCACTTATTTTTGCGAAAAAAAAATGTATGAAAAATAAGGACTTACGGTGTCAAACGATTTGATTTTTCAAGCCCATATGCAACATAAATAGAACCAGTTCTCTTTTATTATATAATATATGAGACAAAATGCCCAATAATTGTAATAAATGAGAAGTGTGGATGTTCACACAATCCCGAAAGAAGTAGCTGAACGGATCCTGATGAACTTTGGTACAGAGATAGATTAGAGTCTAGAATACGAATTACTTTGAAATGAAATGTGTAAGGCTATATAAATAATGCACTTGTATTTCGATATTTATTTTCAGCGTGATCGTCTTGCTTTGGATTTGTTTTGTGCTGTGTTTCGCTTGAGGTATAATACTGTGGATAACAAGAATGGGTACCCATCGGGGTCACCCATCCCAAGTTGTTTTTTATCACTGAAGCATTCATTTATCAAATGTATTTCAGTAGACTAAATAGTTTTCATACGATGAGACTGAACCTGTTTGGGTAATATCGCCCGACATTATTTCATTTGTAGCAAATTTGGAAGGGCCTTAGAATCGCTTGCCATAGTTTTCAGGACCCTGTGAAAAATCTCGCAATACATACTGTGATCAGCAAACTTTCTTTCCAATTGTTCTCAAAGAATGGTCATCTTCATGAAGAATTGTCATTTTCATAAGTTGAGCTCAAACGACCCTCATTTGTCAAATATTTTTAGCTTCCACATGTTGCACGAAAAAGAAATTTTGGTAGTTCTATTCATGTGTCAGACCACATTGATCATCATCCAGGCAACTAAGCTGTGAGTGAGCGTTTAGTGTCATCCGAGTACCAAAAATTCATGACCAAATTTACGTAATCAATAGTTCTCATATTTTGAATAATAAAGTAGGTATACGGGCCCTATTCAAGTGGCGTGTTCCAAGATAACTTATTTGGAATCTTTTGATATATTTACAAACAATCAGGAAATGTAAGAGAATGAAAGAAAATTAAAGACCTTAGGCCCGTACGGTCAGTCGTCCCTACAATTGTAGGGCGCGTGTATGGCCTCCTTGATTGTCATACTCCTTTCTCTCCTTCAAAAATTTCTAGATTACACTTGTCCCGTGTCAGCGTCAGCGCTCTCCTATTGTGAAGATATGTTTTCTTTTTAAATTGTAGGAAATTTCAGGCTGATAAAACATGATATAACTCAAAAGCAAGCACAATTTGATGCAAATAGATGTTTGTGACATAACCTCAAAATAGAGTTCTGACACGGAGTGTGAGTAGAAAACTATGACAATCAAGGAGACCATAAATGCGCCCTACAATTGTAGGGACGACTGACGATACGGGCCTTACATATTGTTTTTTGCATATTCAAAACTAGTCAGCTGTACTAATTACGTTTTCTATCGTTTTTCCAATTTTTTTATATATATATATATTTTATACATTTGAGGAAAAAAACATTTCACGAAATGAAAAGCGTTTGTTTCCATGAAGCCCTTATATTTCATGTGCTAATGCGGTATCTTAAAAAATATGAGAGTTATGATGTACGGGTGATGTTCGCATAGGAATAGCTACGAATGCCCTAGCCCTACAGTTTTACTCATTGAAACTGTTGTATCATTATACACACAGAGCTTTTGGTCACGTGTTTTTTATATTCTGCCAGTAATCACATGAATAATTTTATTTTGTCACTGTGGTATTGATGGTCCTGTCAAGGAAAAACTGTTTAATCTGAAAGCTGCATAATTGCAAACAGGTGTAGTTGAGAAATTTATCAGAAGATTTCATAACTGAATCTGTTCAGTTTGACTAGAGCCAGCTGGAACATTTTCCACAACTAAATATTCTTCAGTAACTTTCGGCTGAATTGCTTATATTGATATAAAACGATATACAACCCCGTATTCGGTTTTACTAATATAATTTTTAAATTGCAGGGACAAGCCTTAGCACTATGCTGCCTTATGATTGGATCTGATGCCTTAAGAACCAAACGAGAACGTAAGTATATATTTATCTATTCCATAATATATTATAATTAGTATTGTTTTAACTTTACGAGAGTATCTTTGGGAAATTCTGTTACATAAGCAGCTCTCGAAAAGGATAATATACATGATATAACCTACCTTAGTTATTAATTTTTCATATGTAAAAATTATCTTACATGTCGATTACGAGACAAATTATGCCAAACCGTTAAAGCATGTATGCCATAAGTTTTGTAAATGAAGAAAATACTTTTTGGTATGTCATCATTTTTTAAAGTCACCTACACATCTTAGGATTATTAATTCATATACTTCAACTGATATATATATATATATATTTCGCAAGTTCAGGATTATTTTTAACCGTGGTGGTGATTATCCGGAAATACTATTTTTTCAGTTCAATCTGTTAACATTTTTCTTATCATTAACGGACGTATCCAGAAAATATTTTTTCAACTTATTCCACAAGTCACAAATATGTACTCTGAAATATGTCTAGTTACCCGATGTTAGACTAACAATCCGAAATAATCAGATTTGGGCAGTTTTGTCCATATGCTTGATTCTTTTTCTGCTAGGTTTGAAAGTTTTCCAATCATCACTATTTTAGAGGTTTCAAATATTCATTCATATATGTACACACTCGAGACGATATAGCTTTTAATTCTGTTTGTATCAATGATCCGTAATCAAGTATTCTCCAGAAATCAATGACGCTTTAAATATAAGGGACATGAATTTCAGTGAAGACAAAATTATCAAACACAAACAAATCTTTGAACTAATAGTATAAATTCCCATAATATAGAAATATCCAATCATTGATAGTTTCTACAGCCAAATATCCATTATGGAACGACAAAAGTCTGAAATTACGGATACAGCAAGTGGCACTATATTTATTCGATGCTCAGTAAATATTTGATGAGAATTTAATCATATGTTATTCAATAATTCAATTACTGGAAATGTTATGACATACGAGAAGGTAAACATGGAAGTTGATAATATTCATAAATGGCATTGTGCTTAGTCAAAATCTGTGACGCTGCGCCGAAGACAAGTACAATTATTTTTTATGTAAACTTAATGTTTTCACTTTCTTTTGTTACTTACATAACAGCTAAATGATGATCAGAATATTTTCTAATGCTAATAATATAGTAACCGAGTAGAGTACCTACATGCCTTAAAGGAAATAGGTGTGGTTTGGAGAGTTGACAGCTACAAGATAAATACGTACAGAATATTCAATAAGAGATAATACGGCAGATACAGGAGAAGAACTTGCTACACAACTAAAAATAAGCGTCGGTCCACGAAATATCTTATATGTATAGATATGTCCGATTTGAGTAAAGAAACTGATTACCCGACTGGTAAAAAGTTGATTATTTCCTTTGAAGGGTTGAGTTTTGTAGGCGCATTTCAATTAGTACCGTTACATCCAAACACCTGAGGAATTATTGAAATTTTCAAGGCAAATCGATGTATCAAAGAAGTCTCACACCATGTGTGGTGAAACCAAAGCATTTTTGCACCTATGCTCAACTGATCATCTTAGTACCACCCAAGAAGTCACCTCCTGAAGTGTGGCCAAATAATCCATGGTGGCTCTGTATAGGTATACTGTGTGTCCCAGATAAAGAAGGGATAACATTACATCTCCGTAACGGATAGCTTGCAATATTGCTTAAATAAGAAAACTGATACGTACTTCAAATAAGTTACACGTGGAGCTTGCAAAATTTTGATGTATTTGAAAAAGTAATGTAGTTATGTTTATTTTTGATTTTAACTGTTTCTGACAATATACTGGTTGTTTCAAATTTGACCCTCACCATTGACATCTCGAAAATAGTCAGAGATACGGACTCGGTTAAATAAGGGCAAAACAGCGAATTTGGGTAGCTAGGATTGTGGTACTTAGTAATTCAAGCGTGTTTCCGGATAGACACAGAAAAAACAAATTTTCTCAAAATCGTCTTTCCCTAATATTGTTTGAGGATTGACTCCATCACAAACTGCATACTAGTATTGCCACTGTTTGTCCTCTACAAGATGGTATAATTCTATTCAATATGTGAACAGAGTTTTTCATTCTGATTTCGAAAATGTACAATACACCTATGTCATACATTAATATTGTAAAGATACAGTTCTTTATAGACACAGTATTTCCCAAGTAGGCCTTGAACTTGTCAGTCATTTGTAACTAATCAACTAATCATCTCTCCAGTTTCTACGAACTAGACAGAGGTAAACAGTTCCAATTTCTGATTTCCAGAACGTACATAATATGTCACAGACTGATGTAAAACTTGACGATAATAAAAATGTCCAAAACGAAATAATCTTAACACACCCTTGAACGAATTTAATGTGATTGATGACTTCGACGATGACGAAGTAATGCTTGGTTTATGATTTTATCAAACAGATGACAGTTCGACAATTTCAAGGCATACTGGGAAAAACCGACTGTTTTTTTAATCACGAAATACTTTAGACATATTTTTTGGCCGTTAATATATGTGGTCATAAAACAAGAAGTTGCATGAAAACTATGGGATAAGTTTCAGGTGTTACATAAACGTTACACATTCTAAAATCAGAACTAAAAACTCTATCCATCTATAAAAATTCCAATATGAGAAACATCATATTGAAACTCTAATTATGCCACCTTATATATATATAAAGTAAGTAGCAATGCTAATGTGTTATTTGTTTTAATGCTAATGTGTAATTTTTTATATACTACAATACCGTAAAGGTGTCTGAAATACTCTAGCGCCGTCTATAAGACAATAGCAGAATTCAAAAGTTAATCTAGGAATCAACTTTAAAAGTAGTTACTGTTTAGTTCTGATATATCCTCATAGATGGCGCTAAGATATTTAATCACTTTTGACCACTCTAATTTATTGGGTATCTTCAGGTGAAATACCTTAATCAATACCTGAAAATACCCTATTAGAAAATGGGCATTAGAGATGCAGAAGCAGAACCAAATACCTAAATTACGAAAAGCTTGCCAGCCGTTTTTGCATTTATTCGCTGCCAGAAAAAGTACCCTCTTTGTATCACCCAACTCGTCGACTGTCCGGTTTTCTAAGAAACCTACTTGTACAATATATTTATATCAAGTTTGATAAGAAAGATTGTTCAGTAGTTTACTGTAATTTGACTATTGCTTTAATGTTGAAAAGGTATTCTTAAGAGAAATTGGTCTTTCATTAAATTGCCCAAACTTTCTGATACAGTAATTTTCCAAAGCCATTTATTAGTAACAGTCGATATATGTAATGTGGAAAGATGCATTGCTTCATTTGCTTTATTTTACTACTTAGTTACCGCAACTGGAGTATACGGCAACGTGATTGTTAGATCGGGTGGGAATAGATGTAATGCGAACGAAAGTGATCGTATCTTCATAAAATTATTTTTGCGAAACTAAGGAACTTCGTGAGCGTGAGATTTTGTTACTGATAGATTTATATCAACACAGGTTTGGATTAAGTCTATTTGAAATGGAAGCAAACAGCATGTAAGCACTTTTATTTATCTGTGATTCTGGCAGTTTGTTTCAATCTTTCATTGCAGGTAGTTACTTTTACTACCCACGCGAAACATTTCTAAATGTGATATTATGTTTTTTGGATGTTATATAACATGCACAACAAGAAAAACCATGCCACTTATTTTCGTCTGTCTGTCTATCTGTAGGTCTGGCGGTTCGTCGGTCTGTGGGTCTCTTGGTTTGTCTGCTAATTCCTGGACCGCCTATAGCTTGGAAAATACTGCTCGGATTTGGATGAAATTTTGACATAAGGTTACTATTTGAAAATTGGTCCAGAGTGGAGGAGCTAGTAACAAAGACACAAAAAAAATTAAAATTGCTCAAACTCCAATACAGTGTGTTCAAGTTGTATCAGAACACCAAAAATTACCTACTAAGGCAATTCTTTCGATAAGTCAAGTTAGTATGGGAGATCTGCGATTAGCTATTTAACTTCCAAATATCTATGCATGGATAGGTTGATTTTTAAAATTTTTCGCTGCTCAACAAATATTTAACGACTCAGTCAATATGCGTTGTGGTACATTTCCTGCAGACTCCCTGAGTTGTTACTACTTTTCAGGTATCCTTGAAGAGATAAATCGTTCAGTTACAATTAGCCTTTCCAATTAGTCATCATTCGAAATTATATTTTTGGTCCTAATAAACTTACTTTCTGCAGCAGTAGAAGAAGTAGCAGCGGACTGTAGTAGTTTCCTGTTTTTCCCATGTTATCAAGATGCCCCTTCTCACCAGCCAAATATATTTTCTATTTATTGTTTTATTTTTATCATTATTTATCTTTCCATCGAGTTATCAACCGACTGTGCTGCTCCTTTTGTGTCCAATTCTGTCGAATCACTTACATCGAGAACTGGCCGATACAGTACGGCTGCTCCTTTGTTGGTAGGGTGCTAAAGCGCCTCAAAAGTAGAATAAACCATATTTTTGACACTTCTATAGCAGGCGCGATTTCTTGGTATATATGCTCAGCCTTCGCGACTGCTCCAAAAAGTTCCACAAGTTCGTGAATGATATAATTATTCAATGAAATGGCGTATCCTGAAGAAACACCAGCTATTAATACAATGAATTCAAGTGCGGTCAATGTATTTCATTGCGGGTAAATTGTTATATTTATATGCCCTTTCACTGTCGAAACGAACCCGGTCCTGTATTCGTAATTCGCCGTGTCAGTTTCAGCGATAGTTGCCATTGGAAGCTGCTGGCATCGACAGTGAATGCACTTTTCTTTTTTAGCCTCAGGAGAGAGAATAACATTGATGGGTGTCAGGTGTAAAATCTTGGCTCAGTGGCGTAGAAGAGGTTCGTTTCTCATAGCCCAAAACTTCTCATTATATAGATAGCTAGTGGTAGCTGGCATCCCGCCAAATCACTTGCTGGGCGTCGAAGATGCAAGCGAAGAAAGAAAGGCGCTTTTTGTCAGATGGCAGGAGAAATGGGATGCAACTGGCCGGCCATGGTGCATGGACCAGAAGGCTGATCCCAGATATTAAAAATTGGATTGACAAGGCAGCAGTGCGATACTATACTGTACAGTTCCTCACATGACATGATTGTTTTGACAGCTACCTGAACAGGGTAGGAAAGAGAGAGTACGTGAATTGCGAATATTGCAATTAAGAGGAGGATACTCCTAACGTCCTACTAGAATGTGACAGATGGGTTGACTTCTAGACATACCTGGAATTGACGCTCGCCGAAAGGCTCTCTGATGACAATTTTTCCACGCATATGCGCGAGGGAAAATGGGTTTATATTCAAGCAACACTGAGGCGAATGAGTACGGTACGGGAGAACAGAAAAAGACAGGAAGGGCCTTATAGTGGCTATAAAAGATTTCATATGAAAAAATTTTCATTTTTGGTTTTTATTTAGACTGTCATCCCTATAGCGCAGAGAATTCGTATCTCCAGCATTGATAATAATAGGTGTGGAAATAATGTAATTGAAAAATTACAAATTTGAGATATCGCTTCTAGTAATTACTATATTCATATGCGTGGAGTGCTGTCATTCCAAATCTTAATGGTTTCCAAAGGGTTATATCGACGCATGGTCGGTGATCGAACTGTTTTCTATCGATACGCCAAAGGGCGTTGATCTTCCTAACATTCCTCTACGCTGCATTTTAGATCAGAATAGCATCTACCTTCATTCCAACTCCGTACATTAGGAACTTACTGGTTTGATCACTAGTCATGGTGTGTCGAGATTGCAGAACAATTTTCTTGAAAAAATCCCCCAGTTCTGATTCAGCTAATCTTGAGCAGCTCACGAATCGGATGAACAAAATCCTTTTTATAGCAGCCTTGGTCACATGATATTTTGTGGCTGATTCAATAAAAAAGTAAGCTTATGACAGCACAAAATACGTGGTCCGACTTTATTCCTTCTATGATTTTCAAATGATGTAGAATGTTTTCATCGTTTTCCACTCCTTCCGATTTGTATTATAGCATTGATATTTTTTCAGATCAAAACTTTGCAATTATTCATCTCATTCCAAAAGAAACGCTCCACTAGCAAGCATCTGAAATATTTCATGTGTCACTGTCGGATCGGGAATAAATTGCACAAATGGCATCACCACATATCAACTGTGGATCGCTCTCTATCCCTCTCGCTATCTTATCTTCAAAAGCTCTATATCTTACCAAGTCTTACGCTCTACTTACTCCATACAATTGTGGAGTTTTGCAGATGGCTAACGCATTGTACTTGATAGTCTAATGTCAACTTGGGTGTTCCTCAAGGATAAGTATCGCAAACCTGCAAAGAAGCAAACCAATTTGTGCAAACATATTGGAAAAAGCAGCAGCTTTCTCCAGCCAGTTCTAATGGATGACCATTTGCAAACATTCATCAGTCAAACCTGTGGAGCTTGCAACTACCAAAATTGGACTGAGACAGTGTGTATTCAGTTATACAACTACTTTGAAGATCCAACTTAGAGCTACTAATCTTTTCATCGTTCAACCTGCCCAGCCTATACAAATCCAGCCTCCTTTCTCTAAGTCCTTGATAAGTCGATAGGTTTCTGCTCCACCTCAAAATAACCGCTCCTTAGTCCCTATTGTCCGATGGAAAGACATATCAACTTTCTCAATTACTTCAACTCCATGCAACTTAAACCCTCGCCTTCGCGTCTGATTAAGAATAAAAAATAGATTCACTGCGTACTGCAGGGAGTACTAGACCGCTCATTGCGAGCATGCTTTCTTTCAACTTAGAGTGTACATACAAATCGTTGGAAGAATCCGTCGCAACTGATATCAATGCGGATATTAGAAATACAGGGTGGCCCATAAGTCCTTTGAGCTGGAAAAAAGGAATAAAACCAAACTAGTTACATTATGAAGAATTATTATATTTTGTCATCATCTTTATTGAATGGGAATTATGTTTTAAAAATCACATCGTCTAAATGCAATCCATTACGATCACGGCACTCATATAAACGACGTCTAAAATTGTCTGCGCGGCAAGTCAACACTGTAATGCTTGCCATTTCTCTTCGGATATTTTCTTTCAGGAAATCAACTGATCGCGGAGTGGTGTCGTACACTTTACTCTTGAGGTAGCCCCATAAAAAGAAGTCCATTGGGGTCAAATCTGGACTACGTGGTGGCCAGGAAATGTCTCCTCTTCGAGAAATTACTTTGCTGGGAAGAAGTTGACAGACGACGGGCATAGAAGTGTTGGAGGTGTGGGCAGTTGCTCCGTCCTGTTGAAACCAGGTCTGCGTATTATAGCCTGGAAAATTCTGCAACGCTGGTGTCAAAAACTCTTCTATCATTGCTACATACCGCTCCGAAGTAACAGTTAATGCGCGACCTCTGTCGTCCTCAAAAAAATAAGGGCCTACGATGCCATGCCCTGACATAGCAGCCCAAACTGTAACTTTAGGGCTGTGTAAGGGCTTCTGATGCTTACGCCTTGGATTTTCGGGGCTCCAATAACGGCAATTTTGTTTATTTACATGCCCGTTTAAATGGAAGTGAGCCTCGTCCGAGAACAACACATTATTGAGCGAAGAAAATCGATTCAACATTTCATTCGCAAAGTTTAGTCTCTGAATAGCGTCATTATCTTTTAATTCCTGCACTAACTGAATGTTGTAAGCGTGCAGACGTAAATCTTTCCTTAAAATCCGCTGTAAAGATGTTCTGGGTACGTTTAGTACACTGGAACTCTTACGAGTAGACTGGGTAGGATTTTGACGAACAGACTGTGCCACAATGTTGATGTTTTCTTCAATACGAGTTGTCCTTGGTCGACCCCACCGCTGTTTATCTAACGTCGAACCAGTCTCTTCGAACTTAGCAACCCAGTTCTTAATCGTTTGAGCTGTTGGACACTTTGTAAAATTGTGTAAATTGTGGTATTCTCGATATTTACGCCGCGCAATGGTTGCCGAATCATTATTTTGATAAAACGCGCGCACACAAAAAGAACGATCCGCTCCAGTGAAACACTCCATGGCGACTGAATTCCCAGACACTGAAGATACTGCCCCCACCTCGCCCGCGCCGCTCACGCTCACCCGTTAAATTTTATTCAAATTTGAAATTTCAAAGGACTTATGGACCACCCTGTACTTTCTTGGCTTTTTGACGAAAAATTGACAAAACGTGGATTGGGGATATGATCATCCAAACAATTAAGCTTCCGTTTTATGACCTACTCGATACCGCAGGTGTTTCTCATCAAAAGAGCACTTGTTGCTGCGTTTCTGTCTGTAACCTTAAGTCGCCACCTGGGAATTAATGGCCGTTGCAACACGGATAATTTGATGATCAATGTTTTCCAAAAAACAATCGGCTAATGGATCACGAAGGCACAATTAATTCCGATATACGGCGAAATTGTGTGAAGGCTGTCATTTATCTCATCGCAAGAGCGTTTCATTACAAAATGCCCCATGTAGGCCTTATTCTACCAGCGTAATAAAAATGTAATCGAGAATTATAATAGTCGCGTGATTACTGCACTTTAAATATAATAGCGGTATTCCTCTTTCACTCTTATTCTCGCTTATCACCTAAATGTTGGTATACGTGTGTATCTTTCAATAATACATGACATAGGTAATTCCCTCTATAAGTATATTTGATAAACGAGATCAAAAATTGTTTTGTAATTACGGCTATAACCAAGATCACGGTTACTTGGAAGGAAGTATTTTAACGATTCAATGAGATAGGCTTCTGCAAATAAAAAAAACATTTCCGTGTGATGTGCTCTGAAAACAAATTACTTTCTTGGTTCCATAATCTTGTAGCAAGGTGTGCATGTTTACTGTTTGCCTATTTAAATCGTTTGACTTTGTATGAATTACGTTAAATTTATAAATAATAATTTTTCTAATTATTATTGAGCTTAAAGTTAAAGAGACTGGTTCTGTAATGGCTGTGTTCCAAAATCCAGCCTTCCAGCATCCAATCTTTTCAAGTTTCCAAGTGGTAGTCACTTCCAAATGGTGCCTCTATATTATCCTAAATCAGAGCCCGTCCAAAAATCCAAGTATATATATATCATTAACCTTTTTTTAACTTAAAATTGTAAACAAAGCCACTGTTGCATGCAGAAGTAAATGATTTTCTCGGAATTGTGGTTGGATTCAAACTTTGATGCAATTTTCTTGTTTTGGGTGTAACATAATTTAATGGTGGTTGATAGGAATAAAAAGTCTTGAAAATAATTCCTACAGTTCACTGACTCAAACATTTTATCATAGTTGTTGTAGTTGTTTCGACTTTCTCAACAAGACATTTTCTAAAATGTCATTAATTCTTCTGTTCTTCAAACACAACGATATATTTGTCTGGGGGATCGGTTTCATAAAACTATTTTTAGAGAATGTATTAATTTTCAACCATCCAAATCCAATTGACACCTGGCCTTATTGATGCTGTGGATGTCAATAGAACTATTTTCAATATCTTATTCACAAACACCAACCGAGCAAAATAGAAATAGCTACGGTCTGTGCTCACTTATAGACAATATCTGTCTAAATAAATTCACACTAATTTGTTAATTTGTATTTCAGCTCCGGTATCAGGCAGTTACCTACCTCCATCGGGAGGCTCAAACGGCGGATTTGGAGGAGGATTCGGAGGTGGCGGTAGCTTTGGAGGAGGCAACGGCTTTGGAGGCGGCAGCAGCAATGGAGGAGGTTACAGCGCACCATCCAGCTCATACGGAGCACCATCTGGTGGATTTGGAGGCGGTAAGTACTGTTAACATCATTGAAACTATTATTAATTAATATTAATACATCAGGTTTTTGTTGAGACAGCGCATTCTTTTCCTTATTTTGGATGGATGAACAATGCATAATTAGTATCAGTGAGTAAAGATAAAGTACAGTATTTGATGTCAATACAACAATAAAATGAGTCGTGAAGAAAGATTTGTATTCCTATAGGTTTCTGCGGTCGCCTCAGAAATTATTGGTCGCTAAGGTATGTTACAGAATGCATCCAAGAAAATTAAAGGGGTAATTTATCATGTTAAGATATGAAAAAGTTCATATAAACACAGATCCGCAAATGTCTCAGTCATGTAATTTGTGTTTAAACTTGTACGTGTTTGACAGTTCACCTCTTTTTTCTCGTAATAAATTAACATATTGAGATGCATTCTCGTACACACAAAACCGACTGAAGTTATTGAAAAAAATGAAGCTTTAGAATTGTCTAACACTTCTTAACCTTTTACTAGCAGTTGTGAAAAAGATTGTAAAACTAGGTGCATTTAAAAAAATGTATAATATATTACTAAATCTAGAACAATTTCGGCTTTTTCAAGACAGATTAATTTTGTTTGGTTGACGCCATTTGTAACACAAGTGGTTCACAGCTTTTGTATTTTTAAATTTGTATTTGTAAATCAAGATTGCTGTTATTGTTTAGTTGCGCTAACAAATGTTAAAATTCATCAAGCTATGTAATAGAAATTTGGAAGTCGTCTACTTCGATTTCATACAATTTTAGTATGAACGGTGTCACTCACATTATTAAGACGTTATCAAAGTTCATCAAGCCGTTTGAACCGTAGCCCGTGAAACTGAAATTTCAAAGTTGATTTCTTATTCATTTCGGTCGGACTGAACACTGAACACTGAACACTTCCGCAACGAAGGCCTCAAATGTCAAATTCCATTAGGCTGTTTGAGGTGTAGCCCGTGAAATAGGTATTTTAAAGTTGAGATTTGCGTTAAAGATCCGTTATTTTGATTTTATGATTTGCCTAGTACCTCTCGACGCCACATGCACATCTATATCCTCTAAGCCTCGAGCTTCGCTCTCCTGGCGAAGTTGAGTGAATAGTTTCGAACTTCACGTTCTGGGGATTCAAAACAATGGTCAAGTCTGCCTGTAGTAACCTAAAGTATCGGAGCGATACAGAGCGCGCGCCGAGGTTACCTCCCCTATCCTTTAGTGAGCATAACGAGCACACCCACAGGTGGCTTGTTGTGACCAAATAAGAATCCCACCAGTAAGCAACCCACCCAGATCCACCACACAATGATATCACAAGTTGGTATTTCTGTCTGAACCTTACTGCACCCAGTCACAACGTAGTAAATTCATTTAAAAACTTTCTGGGTGTACGCTTGTCATAGAAATTTGGTTTCAGCAGTCTTTTCTGTCAGTACTACCTGTAATATTACCTGTATGACGTTGGTTAAAGCATCGACAAGTTCATATTCTTTTCAATGAATATACCTGAAGATGGTCCATAAATGCGTCGAAGAGTAGTAGCGAATAAGTTACCTTTATTTTTGATCAAATATTCAAATCACCCCGTTTTCAAAATCAAGAGTCAAATTGTAAGACATAAATAGCATATCGGCTACTTCCCAGACCGTACTTTATCCGCTGCTCAAAATAGAACTCAATTACATTTACATTCTCTTTTCAGGTGGTGGATCCAGCAACGGCGGCGGGGGCTTCGGTGGTAGTATTTCCTCTAGCTATGGGGCACCAGCTGCTCCATCACCAAGTTACGGAGCACCATCCGCACCTAGCTCAAGCTATGGTGCTCCAGCAGCACCTTCCTCCAGCTACGGAGCTCCTGCAGCAGCACCATCTTCAAGCTATGGAGCACCGTCAGCTCCATCGCCAAGTTATGGGGCTCCATCTGCTCCCTCATCTAGCTACGGTGCTCCAGCAGCTGCTCCATCATCAAGCTATGGTGCTCCCTCTGGAGGATCTGGAGGATTCGGTGGTGGACGCGGTACTTCTTCAAACTACTTGCCTCCGTCTACCAGCTATGGTACCCCAGTAGGACCACCAAGGCCGGTTAGCAGACGTCCATCCTCATCATACGGAGCTCCGTCCAGGCCATCTAGCTCATATGGTGCCCCATCTAGGCCATCAAACGGAAACGGAGGTCCATCCAGACCGGCTTCTAGACCATCTTCCTCATATGGAGCACCCTCAAGGCCTTCCAGTTCATATGGTGCACCATCTAGACCATCATCTTCATACGGAGCCCCAGCGCCATCCAGCTCTTATGGAGCGCCCGCACCATCGAGCTCTTATGGAGCCCCAGCACCTTCTAGCTCATATGGAGCACCTGCTGCAGCTCCCTCATCTAGCTATGGAGCTCCGGCCCCATCCAGCTCTTATGGAGCCCCAGCTGCAGCTCCTTCTAGCTCTTATGGAGCCCCAGCTGCAGCTCCTTCTAGCTCTTATGGAGCCCCAGCTGCAGCTCCTTCTAGCTCTTATGGAGCACCTGCTGCTGCACCGTCATCAAGTTATGGTGCTCCAGCTGCAGCTCCTTCTAGTTCATATGGAGCACCTGCCGCAGCACCGTCATCAAGCTATGGAGCTCCTTCAAACGGAGGATCCAGTGCACCCTCAAGCAGCTATGGAGCCCCATCTAGCAGGGGATCGTCTGGCGGATACAGCTCTGGTGGGTCAAATGGATTCAGCGCACCTTCAAGCAGCTATGGAGCACCATCCAACGGAGGATCCAACGGATACAGTTCAGGAGGGTCCAATGGATACAGTTCAGGAGGATCCAACGGATATAGTTCAGGAGGATCCAACGGATACAGTTCTGGAGGAGCCAACGGATACAGTTCAGGAGGATCCAATGGATACAGTTCAGGAGGACCCAACGGAAACGGTTCAGGAGGATCCAACGGATACAGTTCAGGAGGAGCCAACGGATACAGTTCAGGAGGATCCAATGGATACAGTTCAGGAGGACCCAACGGAAACGGTTCAGGAGGATCCAACGGATATAGTTCGGGTGGTGGACAGGGCTATGCTAGCAACGGTGGATACTCATACTAATAAATAAATGGAAATAAGAGGAGTTGAGAAGAACAAACGTGAAACTGTATATACTTTATTTATTTGTAGTACTTCTCAGTATTAATGTGACCGTCATGTAGATTTGTTTGAGTGGAAATACAGTTTTATAATTTTTTACGTGTTGCGTTTTCTTGAACTCAACTCATAATTTAAAAGGACAAATCGATCCCACGGAATAATTTTTATGTTGTATGTCCTAAAAGTTAGATGCATTCACTTGAAAAAGCCTTTTTTGACAAGGGAACGCTACCATTCACAGGCAAAAAACAACTCGACAGTATTGCCCTGCCGGCCTTTCCTGCCCGAAGTGTGAGGTTCTCCAGAAATAGTATACTCACTAAAACACCCTCAGTCGTTCGCCACACATCCCACCACCGTAATGCTTGCAGCATCTCTTCATAGTGGGTAGCTTTACGCTAGGTGCTTATACCCAAGGTATTAGTCATCTATTCTCTATCGTGGCATACATACTTTTTTACCTATGTGCATGTACAACCGAGCAAAATAGAAACCTGCTATTGGTTCCATGGTTTATTTTAGTTCTCCGGTACCTTACTGACCATCATTCGCCTCGCTATTGGTTGAGTATCAACCCATTTTCCCTCGGGTATATGCGTGGCAAAATTGTCAGCAGTGAGCCTCTCGGCGAGCGTCAGTTCCAGCTGTGTCCACCTACCACATCGGAGTTAGTGAGAAGGAGTATCATAGCAGTATCGCAATACGCGTATTCTCTTTCCCACCCTCGTCAGGTAGCTGCCAAAACAACCATGACCTGTGTCCCTTGTCAATACAAGTTTTAATATCTGGGATCAGCCTTTTGGATCATGCACCATGGCCAGTTGCATCCCATCTCTCGTGCCATCTGACAAAAAATGCCTCGTTTTCGTCGCTTTTGACTTTAAGAAAGGGCATATCTCTCCCCAGCCAGCAAATCAATTGGCGGGATACCAGCCACCACCAGCAGTGCATCGGTTCGACACCGTTCTGTAAGCACATATCACGCGCAGCACTACTTTTTACTGACTTCTCAATATTAGCTGTCTATATTTGTGTTTCTTTTTTTTTTCTTTTTTTTTGTGAGCGGGGAATGCGTTTATGCACCATATCATAGCCCGAGCTACGGCGTGTATGAGACTCCAGGTTGTCTTGAGGAGACCACCTAATACCCACTAAACCCTAACCTCCGCGTGGCCCGACTCATCAGCGTCTCGGTAGGCCATCTGTTGTGCGTGACCTGCGGTCTGCTACAATGTCTCCTCATGTGTTTCAGTCTCTGGGAACGGCGGGTTGGTGCCCTTTACCTCGCACATTCTATCGATGTCGTTAAGCGATCATCGATAGAGGGCCTGCTAGGTTCTCTTGAAACTCCTGTTTTCGAAAAATCAAGAGTTTCAAGTCATCTTAAATATATGTTGTTCCTGGTCCTGGTCCTGATGGGTCCTGGTCCTAGTGGGTCCTGGTCGTGGCGGGTCCTGGTCCCGGTGAGTCCTGGTCCCGGTGGTTCCTGGTCCTCTGCATCCACGCCGTGGAGGGGGAAGGGGAGAGCAACCGCGGATACTCCTAGTCAAGGTTCCAGTTAGCGTCTGCCAACTGTGACTTGGGTCTAGGGTACCTGGTTCTGCGGTTGCGAGGCCTCTCGTCCGGATCGTAGTCCATGAGGAATCGTAGCTGCTCGTTCGGGTGGTCGTGAGCATTCTGGAAGGCCTTGTTATATATAGGAGTTCCGTACAGCATAATCGAGTTTGTCATCCCTGCCAAAATCCTGCGCATCTCACTACTGAGGCCTCCGTCAGATGGCATTAGACGTATAAGTGATGAAACGACCTTATTTATCTAGTCAGTGGTACGCCTTATGTGTTCCAGCATTTCCAGATCTTTATCAAGCCTAACACCCAGATACTTAATTGCATTTTGGCTCCAAATCTCGGAATTATCAACCTTGATGAAGTTAGCTTCTGTCTGCTAGAAAGTATAACCACTTCAGTCTCTTCTCAGGAGCCAATTTCAAGCCATTTTCATAATCGTTCTCTTGATTCCGTATGCCAAGAGTCACTATCGTCGCAAGGTCGTCAGCATACCCTATCAACTGAATTCCCGGCAGCATCTGTAACCGAGGAACCCCATTGTTGTACCCGTTCCTAAGTAAGGGCCCTAGGGACGGGCCCTGCGGCACTTCGATGGTCACCTTCATCGTTTTTCGCTCTACCATAAGTGCCCTCTCCTCAAAGTAGCTCTGTATCATGCTCAATAAATAACTCCGGGTGTCTATCTTCTCGAGAGATTCGAGGATTTTCTACCATTGTGCCATGTTAAAGGCATTCGAACGTCAAAATCAACCATAAAGCAAAGCTTCTTATTACTGTAGCTGTGCCACTGCACTAGATGACAGATTTTACCTTTCTAAAACCATAACGAGGCAGGCAACCCGTTCTTTTTCTCGGCGTATTAGCCTACCTTCTTTCGGTTATTCTAGTATCTTTCCAAGTGATCTCAGCATACATAAACCTGTAGAAGTACAAAAAGTGACTCAATCCAGCGTCAATCGTATTTTTTTGTTCACCTCAAGTCCGATTCAGCATGTACTGAAATGAAGTTTACAGGTACTCTGGTCAAATATAGGCATTCACAATTTCGTAAACCTGAATATTGTTGCAGACATTAAATACACTATTATACACATGAAATAATATCTCTTTTGTTCAATATCAATATCAGAATTTTCATAATTAGGACAGATGCGGTATATTCACTTTAAGTGATTTTCATGTAGGTGGATAATATTTAGAATGAGAAAATACTGAAGCAATTTTTTTGGTGAAAATACGGTTTTAACAGTTTAAGTTTGCCCGTCTAAACAGCGGCCTGGCTACAAGCATCGTGCCAATTTCGAATCAAAGCACAAAAACACTTGTCCGGTTTTATGGTTAAACTAGAATAAACCTTGACTTTTACAGTATATCACGTATCACATTACGATGGTGTGAAAAGGATGTAATAAAGCAAATTATCTATTTATGTTTTTATTAGTTACAACAATATCTAAACTCTAAACGTTTTTTACATATTATATATCGTTTATATATCCATTCAACAACATACTAAAACGTAACAGCTTCAAATAAAATTATCAAGTTTAACATAATTACTCGTATATTTATAGGCTTTTCAAACTAGGAAGTTAGGGCAGAGGTTTCATAAAGCTTCGTTAGATACAAGACCTTCATAAGAAAATCGAATAACCCTAGAATCATAAATGGATAACCTTATCAAACAATAGCCATATACAGATATATAGGTTGTTCAAAAAGTTTCTAACCCCCCTCCCGACACAGAAAATACTGAAAAACAAAAATATGACTTAAGCAAAACTTGCCAGGTTTTGAGAGAACAACCCTATACCGACTTTGATCACGAGCTTGGAATTACCCTTCAATGTAATTTAAAACTCAGCATGGAAGTTTTAAATCGAATGTATCTTTTTAACCTCACGACATTATAGAGTGAAAAATACTTTCGGAAATGACTTTCACCATTACACGAACAACAACCGTGAACGCCATTTAGAGATCGAATTAAAATTTTTATTATAAGGAATGTAAATTTGTTGATCCTACTGAGCCGGATGTTTGCGTTTGGAAAAGACCTTGACCACAACTCCAACCATCATCTTCAAAAGGTCATTTAGAGGTCAACTTGAAAAAAAGGAGCGAAAAGTTGTTCGTATGAGACCTTGACCTGTGATCTGGTTAACCTTTAACACATTTTGACGTCAAAATCATGGACAAGGTCATTTCGTTACGTGCAGCTCCCGTTCTTCCCATTGGTGACGTTACAAAGGTACGGTTTCATTTAAAATTCTTTAGTTGACCTCTAAATAGTTTTAGAAGTAAACGTCACGTTGATGATAAGGGTCATTTCCAAACGAAAAATTTTCCTCCCCTTCTACCTGGTGGGTCAAATACATGAGATTACTTATTACAAAATGTTCAAATTCTTGTGAATGTTTTTGAACGCCTTGTATGTAACAAAGCTAATTACAATTACTCTCTCGACGATCAATTGATCCTATGAATTCTCTGCACTATAAAAACAAAAATTCCTACAATGCCATAACATCAGCGTCAAGTTAACACTATTTTCTCTAAATATACATGACTAGATGCTCACGCTGTCATACTAACTTAATTTTTGAGTGTATAGAAAAAATAATATGGCTATGTTACACCGCTTACGCAAAATTATTTACTACACAAATATTTACAACTCATTGGGGAAGGACCTGAAGTAACAACTATATACACAGATATTGGTAGACATACAGTAGTGAAAAACCTCATTTCAATGTATCTGTTCATTTTTCATTTAATCTTCCACTTTATTCAAAAATAGCCCTGCCCTGTTATTGAGTGTCACACAGTTATGTCGAATCTGAAAAAGTATTGTAATACTTTGGGTTTGTACTTAAGCTAAAATAGACAGGGTGGTATTCCTAGATTAAACTTGTGGGCAATAAACTAAGAGACCCAGACTGCAACCAGCCAGGTGTGAGTTTTCAAAACTGGGCTTTTCCCTACATGTCTGCCTTCAGATACTCACTATTCTTGGGGTACTTCACTATGTATATCGTACCATAAATACAGAGGTTTCCAGCATTTTAATGAAAAATGCATTGTTGGGCTTTTGGTATTCCATTTTTAATGGCTAGTACTAGAAAAGTAAGTATTTCTAACAACGAATCTCTTCAAAACATTTTTCATTAAAATTCGCTATAGGTATCCAAAAATACATTTAAATTTTCATGGCTTCAAAGTACAATAACTAGGATATGTATTAATCTGATATGTTTGCGTGATTTTAGTCTTTTATCTCTATGAGATATGTATTTTTGCAGTACATGTTTCCTTAAAAGAAGAGCTATGAGCATTTGAAGCATCTGCCTGAAATTAGTGAAGTCTCAATATTTTCTATATTTGTTCCACGGACATCCCAAAAATACTTACATACATATATTGAGAAATATTCATAAAACCCTTTAGATGTGTTGATGGGCCACAATAGGACCACCACCACCCCTTACTCTAACCTGTAATATATATATATATATATATATATATATATATATATCATGGAAGCCATCATCAAAATCAAACTAAGCAGGTATATCAAACTGAAACAGGGACCGAATTTGCATCTACCTCAAATGCATGCATAACTCCATTCCATCCGTGAATGGTTCTAAACAAACCACGACCCTATTTATTACACACATAGCTGACTAATATAATTATTGTTTACCACACACATATATAACACACACCGAGATACTTGGTAATAAAATCTTTACAAGGGATACATTTGCGTCATCAGAAAAGGTGCATGACTCTTAGTGGTTCTTCTTAATCTTCGTACGAAATGTCTATGAGGTAGACTATAGGAAGGAATATGACGATCTCAAAGTTTTGTTATGAAGCTTTTTGTTTTCGTGAAACGTATTCTCTTCTTGGTTCTACATATTATATCCACTTGAATACTGCTGCGAATTAAGATTGTGGAGAGAAAATTTCAAGTTCTGGTTATAAACATCATAACTCACACCTTGAACTCAATTTCTAAGAGTTTTAGCGAGTAAATAAAACAGCGACAATACGCAAATTACTGGTTCAATAAGCCAACCGACTGACCTTCTGCGCTTCTGTTCATACTGAGATCGAAATTTTTGCTTTTCGTTGCGATCTGCCTTTCGTTCTCAGAAGCTTACCCTAGCATAGTCAGTTCAATGTAAGGGCGAAAACACATTGGAAGCCGATTTCCTGCTCATCGGCAACCAGTGCCAATCTGTACCGAATTTCGGCGCTGGTCCTGGATACAGTGCTGACGAGAAAAAATCAAATAAAACCAGCCTCTTGTCAGTTCCAGCGTAGTCTTCGTGTCAACATGAAGATGAATTTATTGCATTGGACAGTTCTGTAACTAAAATAATCACTAGAAAGGAAGTTGGTATTCACCTCATAAATCGTGAGAGGGTACATTATGGTAAATATCATCATTTGTACTCCTTAAATTCTAATCGGATTCTTAGAGGGGCACTTTCTCCCCCGCCCTGCGGTCACTCATGGCTCTTCCATTTGACGTAAATCGGTAGGCTATAATAGGGTAAGTTGAAAAAACTAGTATAGGAGTAGCTAAGTGGGGATTGAAACACAAAATACAATATAAACGTTTAAGGTTTTCCATTTTCTGATGACGTTTCTCTGCTAAGTTTGCATTTAACACCTTGTGATTACATTTGTCAAAACTTAAACATATTCCCATAATTACGTGTCAAGTCCGATCGTATGCGGTTTTCAGCGTTACGTTTTTAATCTCACATAAAAAATAAAATTATGTTGTTCAACAAGCAATCACAAGGTAATGCAGGAGTAACGATATGATAATGATACGAAGGAGGTGATAATGTTTCACAGTGGATAATCTAAGCTATCACTTAATCCAACCGGGTCTGTAAATATCTATTAAGCTCTTACCAATTGTACACTCACATGTGGGTGAATTTGTTTGATAATGACTATATTAATTGATACATAGTTTATGTTTTGTGACTGCATTAATATGGTGAAATGTTTAGAGGTACAATAAGTTAAGATACAAAATAAACTTATCAATTCCTGACCTCTATAGTTGAGTTAAATTAGGTTTTCCTCCATAACTCTTAGATTATCTAGAGTGAATTTGGAACACAGCAAACACATAATACTCAAAAATACATTAATTAGGTACAACAAGATTTCTAAAAATCTCTATATAGCAACAATAATTATAATTATTACCATAACCAACGTGATTATATATCTTCCAATTAAAGATTTCCCTAGATTTGGTATGCATTCCATCATAACACGGAGATTAGGCGACAAAAGTGGGAAATGTATGAGTAGAGGGCAGTCATAAGATATTTTTGACTCCAGGGATTCCATGATCATGAGTTGGTCTCGTCACACTAATTTCATTTCGAAAAATGCTCGGGCCAACTCTGCCATTTTGCTGAATATGCTGGACTCAGATACCTTAAATCTACTCTCCATCACTGAGATATGTATGGTGATCAATTCCAGTGTATTGGAGCAATTTCGATGTTGAGTAAGTTCGTTGAGAATTGCTCAATTTTTTAATTTATTTTTAAGATACAAGGAGTTAAAAATAAATTACTCCGAGATGCTACGAATAATTGCCAAACATCAAACATGGGTAATGGTGAACTAGTGAAAATTATCTGGCACCTTACAATGATGGTATCTTACTTCTACTGCGTTCTTATGACTACGATAGCCAAAAATGATTAAGTATAACGACCCTCGAAAAGTTTTTAAATTAACGCAATTATATATAACGATCCTTAAAGGTGTTTAAGCTATAACAGTTAAGTATTTTTTTACGACTATTGCATTCTAAACATAGCACCTAATTCACAAAATAAGGCAAATAATCATATGTATTTAACGCTGTAAAGGCGTATTTCTATAAAGTTCCTTCCTTAAATCTGATCATTATACAGGGTGTTTCAGTTTATTGTTGCATAGCTTTAAGATTCGATAGAACTTTTAAAATTAATGCATAAAGTCTCTATAAACATGGGTCGAAAAATGCGTGGATTCCGAAATACAGGGTGTTTAAATTTACTTCTAAAATAGTTTTTTTTAAATATTTCGAACAGTATTTGGTGTATAACAGTGAAAATTGGTATACAAGGGTTTTTTAGTTCGACAAAACGAACCATAGTTTTACTGTAGCCGCTAGAGGGCGCTCTCTACTGTACCTGTAGTGTATTAAAATGACCGAAAAATTTGTTTAGTGCAATTTTTTGCTTTTTGAATAAAAAAACTGATTCTTCGCACTTTTCAACATAAAAAAGCTCTCTTGTGAATTTTCGTTATAGTTAGCCGTTTTTGAGATATTTTGATTTTTAAGGTTCGATGCATTTTTAATTACTTATGATAAAATAACGTTATAGTTAGCCGTTTTTGAGATATTTCGATCTTTAAGGTTCGATGCTTTTTTAACTATTTATGATAAAATAACGTTAAAAAGTCAGTATCTCGATAATTTTTAGAAGTAGGCTGTGTCTGCAAATATTTTTGAAATTGAAAGCAGAATAAGGTTAAACGTCAATTAGTTGACAGTTAGTTTTGTTGTCTGTTGAAACCTGAAACGTTTTTTTGCAATTGTGAATGCACGAAATTTAGTTTCTTTTACCTGTTTTTTTTTTGTAAGTTTTATAAAAATGCCATTTTTATTCTCCAATCAAGAGTTAGCGGATATTCATTTTGTGTATGGCTTTGAAAATGGAAACGCAGCAGAAGCAGCCAGAGAATATGCACGAATATTTCCAAACAGACGACATCCAACTCGCTCAGTATTTGTAAGAGTGCATCGCCAAATAATTGAAAATGTTCTTAGAAATGACCATAGACGTCCTTACCATTTGCAACCTGGTAAATATCAATATATTTGGTCGCATGAAAATCCGCATGCAGTTCGGGAAAGAAATTTTCAGCATGGATTTAGTGTGAACGTGTGGATTGGTATCTACCGTAATCGACTATTTGGACCCTACCTTTTGCCTGCAAGGTTAAATGCCGCGACCTTCTTGGAATTTTTAAAGGCTGAACATGCAAATATGTGGGATGATGTTATGTTAGATTTAAGAAGATTGGCCTGGTTCCAGCTTGATGGTTGTCCAGCTCATTATTCGAGAATAGTTAGAAACTGGCTGGACGAAAATTATCCAGAAAGATGGATCGGCCGTGGAGGACCAGTCGCCTGGCCTCCACGATCCCCTGACCTAAATCCATTAGATTTCTTTGTGTGGGGATTTCTAAAAGAAAAAGGGTACCAGACTCCCGTAACTACAAGAGATATGCTAATAGACAGAATCAGGAATGCATGTGATGAAATAAGGCCTTATTTGAATAATGCTTATACCACGTTCGATCATTCGTAGATGTGAATTGTGTATTGAACAATTGGGTTTACATTTCGAGCAACTACTTTAGATTTTGTATGTTTGTCCTATCCAATAGCATTTTAGTTGTAAATAATTAATTTAATTTGTTAAAAATAATATTGGAAAATTAAACAAATTATTAATATTCAGTTTTTCTGTGTTTATTTGGAGTTAGGAATTATTGCTGTGTTTAAAAACACAATCTAACCGATCATCTTAATTACTTGTAATGCCCAAATCGAAAATGTAAAAAAAATATTATTTTCACATAAATAATAAAAAATGCATCGAACCTTAGAAATCGAAATATCTCAAAAACGGCTAACTATAACGAAAACTCACAGGAGAGCTATTTTATGTTGAAAAGTGCGAAGAATCATTTTTTGTTCAAAAAGCAAAAAATTGCACTAAGAAAAATTTTTCGGTCATTTTAATACACTACAGGTACAGTAGAGAGCGCCCTCTAGCGGCTACAGTAAAATTATGCCCATGGTTCGTTTTGTCGTACCAAAAAACCCTTGTATAACAAATTTCACTGTTATACATCAAATATTGTTCGAAATATTTAAAAAAACTATTTTAGAAAGTAAATTTAAACACCCTGTATTTCGGAAGCCACGCATTTTTCGACCCATGTTTATATAGACTTTATGCATTAATTTTAAAAGTTCTATCGAATCTTAAAGTTATGCAACAATAAACTGAAACACCCTGTATAATTATTCGAACATCATCGTGCTAACGGTTACAATATATTGCGACAACCTATATATGCGGCTATTCCATACATGTCACTATGTTATGTATAGTGGTTTCTATAGAACTTACCGATCATGACTTTATCACTGTTAATAATATAATATGCTGTTTACATTTTTGGTGTCGAATAATCATAGATCATAGTTGTTTATTTTTGTTCTTAAGATGCACAATCATATTGCAGTTAACCTTTCATCAAACCACTAACGCCTCACGAAATTTTCGTGATCTAGGTATGAATCTATCTATCCTTTCCTACGGTGCCACTACCTAGTTCGCATATAGTTTTAGCGCATTAAGTTGAGATATATGTTATTAAGAATATCAACTATCTGGTAAAATGACTTAGGGTAAACCAAGTACATATTATGAATACAATGTGATAACGAATTGGATCATGTGTATCATTATGTATTAAAATTGTGTATAATGACACACATTCTATGAAATAGTGGACATTATCGGTGAGTAGTGGCTTCGGTTCAGGGAGGGTATCTAAGAAATAAGCCTTTCGAAAATATTTATTGCAAATAATGACATAATTCAGAAAGCCAAATCAGCTAGTTAGATTCTTCCTGGAGGAAAGGTACATTAATATTCCCAACATAATTAAGAATTGGAATAAACGCATGAAAATACATCTTCACTAAAACTCATTTGTTTATCAACAATTTTTTTCTAAATAACTCCGGAACCACTTAATCGGACTGGAACATGTTTCTGTTTCTATCAATACACGCAAAATGATCGACATGGAGGATTGTTCAGTATTATATCCAGAGAAGAAAATACTGGTGATCGATCATTTTGACACATACTCGTAGATACAAGAGTGCAATGTATTTAGAACTTATTTCATAATTTGAACTAAACTGCGTATTCCAGAATATTACTTCTTTCAACTAGATGTTCAACTAACATCATTATATTATTCTTTGACAATATGTTTTCAGATATTCTGTTATTTATCAATTACATTTTCTTGAAGAAACTAGGAATAGACTTCGCCTCCGCGAATGGACGTTTAAGCAGTATTTATAATACTTTATATATACAGGGTGATCTAAAACTATGTCTTTCTACACAGGTATATACATGCATGATAATCATTCGAAACCTGTATCAGATACCTTTCCTCCAAGAAGCAAAAAAACTAGGAGCTGTATTAGAAAACCGTTTTCATTCAACATTTTATAGCCTCTATTATTAGGAGAAGCACTAGCATTAGCACATAAATCAGAATTTTTGTTCTTGATTTATAGAGCGTTAGAATTTGTATGCTTGCAGTATCTAAGAAATGCGAGTATTTGGTCTCACATGAATTCGTAGTTGTATGCGGAAATAACTTGAACACTTTTTTTTAATTGCTAAACTCAGGTGCCACTGAACTATGAGTTCCATCATAACCTGTCATTGTCGAATGAAAACAGAAATCCAAATAACTTACATTTCATCTTATAGCGTGGTTTGGCTGCTGTCCACAGGATGTGTGGCTCCCATTCTGCTTATACCTCCACCAGAATGGCCTGGGTTGTTGCCTATGAGCGCTTGACTTGTCGGAATATCATCTTCGTCTGTCTCCAAAGCAGGATTGATCCTGCCGTTTCTCTCGTCCTTTCCCACCATAGTTGCAGCCCCATATAATTTACCCATTGCTCCTGAAACAAGCGTTTCACTCATTATTCTGTTCAAATAATACCTTTTTCAAGCCTCCTCTCTGTATTGCCCTGTCTGTATCAGTGCCGGAAAATATTTGAGGAAAATATAACGGGCTTATTGTATCATCGACAATGTTTTTAAGGGTTCTTGAAAATGTCCTTGGCAGGTTGATTTTAACCGATAGTACAGGTCAGCCAAATGAAAAAATCTGTGCCGACGAATTAAAAATATTTCTGAAGCACTGATTTGAAAAATATCCTTCGTAGCACAGAGGTAAGAGATTTCATGCATTTCAAAATATGCTATTTTCGACCCCGAAAAAAATTTATATAGGGTGTTCCTTAATGATATGCGAATATTTAAGGGTGTGAATCTACATGAAGTTTGCTTTATAAACTATGGTCCAAAAATGTTTCACTGATATTAAGTACGTAGTAAAAGTTAATAAAGTTGCATATTTTTCAATGCAAAAATAATTTTTAGCTTTAACTGTGGCGTGCGTACGGCTATTGACTTCGATATTTTTTAAGAAATCTCTTCAGTTGCTTTCCTTCGATACGCCATTTTTTAGTAAAAAAATAAAAACCGTTCTATTGTCCGAGAAAATTAATGTAATAATTGAAGAATGCAATTTAGCAATAAATATCTAGTTGCTCTGGAATATGTCGCTGGCTTTTGACATCTGACAAGTCTCTGTTATTCAAATCTGTTCGCTGTGACATCTTTTTCATTATTTAGTTTTTACAATCTTGTTAATAATGCTGCAAATGCAGAGATGGCGGAAATGCATTACGTATATGGCCTTGCGACAGTGAGCAAGCCAGACGGGTTTATCACCAGAGATATCCCGATAGTGCTTTGCCAGATAGTCGAACCTTTTCTGATATTCATCGTCGTCTTGTTGAAACTGGTTCTGTCCGAAAAGGAACATCTGAAGGTAGACCTCTACGTGTGCGAACCCTGAAATTGAGAAAGCTGTGCTGCACGAAGTCGAAGAACATCCTGAAACGAGTACGAGGAAGATTGCTAGACACTTAAATATTTGTCATCAAATTGTTTAGAGAATTTTAGTGAATTTTTTGTTATATCCTTACCATATAATGGCTCTATTCACGGACGAAGCTAATTTTTCTCGAAGTGCCATTCAGAACTTCTACAATAATCATTTGTGGCCAGAAGAAAATTCCTATGTCGTTACCGAAACTCATTTCCAACACCAATTTTCGGTTAACATATGAGCAGGAATTTTTGGCAACCACTTTATTGGCCTATTCTTCTTGCCGGGTCGACTTGACGGACAGACTTACCTCAATTTTCTTCAACAACAGTTGCCTTTGCTGCTTGATGATGTTCCATTAGTAATAAGAAATAATATGTGGTACATGCATGACGGTGCACCAGCGCATTTCAATGTAGCGGTTCGTAATTATTTACAAACTGTTTATCCAAATCGTTGGATTGGCAGGCGGTGGGCCCCACGAATTTCCACCAAGGGTCCCAGACCTCAACAGTTTAGATTTATTTTTGTGGGGCTATCTTAAGACACTAGTGTACACAAGTCCCATTAATACTGTAGGGGAATTAAGAGAAAGAATAGTTGCAGCTTGTGATAGAATAAAAAACATATTTCAACGAGTGCGCAATTCCATGAGAAGGAGGGCGGAAGCATGCATACTAAGAGAAGGGGGTCATTTTTAACAATTTTTGTAATCATTTCGTTGGTTTTAGTGATATGTTCATGTTGTCGGTTGTTGTTGTTCATTACCTCAAATGTGTTTAATATTTCCAATTAAATTAGTAATAATTTTGCAAGTTAGACAATAGAACGGTTTTTATTTGTTTACTCAAAAATGGCGCATCGAAGGAAAACAATTCAGGAGAGATCATTTGTTTTAAATTGAACGGGGAATTAAAAAATTATTTTTATTTAAAAAACCATTAGCGTACTATTTTTTCCTTAAAAAATATCGTCAATACCCGTACGCATGCCACTGTTAAAGCTAAAAATTATTTTTGCATTGAAAAATATGCAACTTCACTAACTTCCACTACGTACTAAATATCAGTGAAATATCTGAAGCGGTTCTGAAAATATTAATTAACTACCATTTTTTTTTCTAAAACTTCAACACCCCGAGTTTTTGCAAGGAAACATTTTTGGACCATAGTTTATAGAACAAACTAACATTAGTTTTTAGTGTAGATTCACACCCTTAAATATTCGCATATCATTAAGCAACACCCTGTATAAAGAATATAGTTCGGTGGTTAAAGAAAAAACAGCTGTAAAGTTTTTGCATCCGGATAATTACAAATGTCCAGCTCGATCTGAAGCCTCAATTACTCTGCGTTATGACCCACTGGCCTATAATACCATGGAAATATAAACGTCATACGTCTATTTCGACGAGGAGAAAATTAGTTTTGAATCCACAGCAGATAATAAGGAGGTCAAGTTTGAACATTCGAATAGCAACCACCATTTGTGACAGCAGGTTTATACTTGAGATGAAGTGACCATAAGTATTTTAGAAAGAAAAGGATCTAACAAAAGTTTCAAGATATCGCTGAAGCAATTCGACGATGTCAAATATAACGTAGATAATAACCTTTGAGGTGATTTGGAGGTGCAGTTCCTGTTGAATTTGTTGTTGAATTTTGAGGTCTGACTTACAAATGACCTCTGAGGCGACAAATTGCTTTTCTGATACTTGGAAGTTTTGTTGAAACCTTTATCGAAAAAAGTCTCCTTTGCTGAGCAGTTACCAACAACTTTACAAGCGCCGCCTACCAGGAGCAAGATTGAACATCGCTACCACTTTATAATTTATATCCGCCTATATCAAAATACCGGTATTATTAGATCCCTAATTCCAGCTTTGTCTTACCACATGTTTCGGGACTCAACCAACTAGATTGGGTTAGAGTTTGCCTCCAGCCTTTTCCTGATTCTCGTCTACAAATTCGCTATATTTCTTGGGAACAGCGAAAGTTAAAAATAAAGTACACGAATACATACCAGAAGCCATCATAGACATCTGCTCTCCCTCCTCACTAGGCTCTCCAACTCTCTGAATATCTTCTGGGATGTTGACGACACAATGAAAGATGTCGTAACCCGGGGCCAACCGGCCTGTTTCAAACACCCATTTGGTCCACCACGAAACCGATGCCAGCGTTATCAGAGACAACAACATTGCCATCGTTCGGAAAGGAAACATCTGCGTTTGAGTTTCCTCATCGTACCTAAAAAAAGAGACAGCATCTTTAAGTTATCTCCACCTATCTGACCCATAAAGGCCGTTGCTAAATATATTGAATATTCCCTATCATATGGTAGGCTTCTGAGAATTGATTTTGTTCATTTGGTTCCAATCAGACAGACTATCCGTCACACATTTCCAAAGGTACTCTCCTTAAAAGACTGAATTGATAATTAAATATTTCAGTCATATAATATATTTTATTTAATGTCGAGCATGAATTGCTAATGAATTTATATGCATTGAGGCAGCTTGCGTTACTAAGGCCCGTATCGTCAGTCGTCCCTACAATTGTAGGGTGCGTTTATGGCCTCCTTGATTGTCATACTCTTTTCTCTCCTTCAAAAATTTCTAGATTGCACTCGTCCCGTCTCAACGTCAGCGCTCTCCTATTGTGAATATATACTAAGTGACATATAAATCCGAACACCCAGTTTAAATGGTTTTATTTTAATAAAAGTTGGTGAATGTATTTATCTTACTGTAAATAACAAGTGAAAAATTTGTCAGCCTTATCAGTTGGACATTCCGGTTTTTATACTGCTTTCTTTTAATTCACTAACGCTCTAAAAATGAAAATTTTAGCCGCAGTAAAGAATCAACGTTGGCGGATTTTGGTTCTTGACATCCTTTACGATCGGTTACGATGCCTAGAGTACGGAGACCTGTACGATTTCGTCTACTTAGTGAGTTTGATAGGGGCCGTATAGTGGGACTTCGGGAAGCTGGACTTTCTCTTCGGGCAATTGCAGTTAGAGTGCAAAGAAGTGTAGACACTGTGGTTAGGTGTTGTCAGGCATGGCTTCGAGAAGGCCGTACGCAAAGAGCAAGGGGCACTGGACGCCGCCGTAAAACAACAGACCGTGAAGATCGCCGCCTAAGATTATTGGCCTTAAGGGACCGTTTCTCCACTTCCAGGTCCATTGCAAATGAATGCTTTGCAGAACACGGAAGACCTATTGGTATGCGAAGTGTTTACCGACGAATGAGAAGTTTTGGCTTGTTTTCATACCGGCCACACTGGGTCCTCCCTTTAACTCGAGAACACCAACGTAATCGCCTTGAGTGGTGCAGACAACGATCACCCTGGGATCAGGAATGGAAGACTATTGTCTTTAGTGACGAGACTCGATTTTGTTTAGGCATGCACGATGGTCGTGCCAGGGTTAGAAGGCGACGTGGTGAAAGGAGGAATCCACAGTTTTTTGTTGAAAGACATTTTCATCACACTGTTGGAGTTATGGTTTGGGGTGCTATAGCTTATGGTTCCAGGTCACCTTTAATCTTCATCAGAGGTAACATGAACGCGCAGCGTTATATCCACGAAGTTCTAGAACCCCATCTTTTACCCTATCTTGACACCCTGGCAGATCCAACTTTCCAACAAGATAATGCCCGACCACATGTTGCAAGAGTCACAATAGACTTCTTTCAACATAATGATGTCACATTGTTACCATTGCCTCCAAGATCTCCCGATTTATCCCCAATTGAGCACGTGTGGGATATGATGGGTAGGAGATTGCTCAATTTTCAACGTCCTCCTCAGACTCTAGAAGTACTTCGAGAGGAGTTGGTGGTTGCCTGGAATGAGATACCACAGGAGGACATTGACCACGTGATCAGAAGCATGCCTAGGCGCGTTGGAGAATGCGTACCACATCAGGGTGCATCCACACATTATTAAAGGTCAAAGGGCTTCAAAGCAGTGCAATCATTTTGAAATTTTTATCATTTACTTATTATGCTTCTTTAAGTACTTATACAAAATTTTATTAAAATAAAACCGTTTAAACTGGGTGTTCGGATATATACGTCACTTAGTATATGTTTTACTTTTAAATTGTAGGAAATTTCAGGCTGATAAAACATGATATAACTCAAAAGCAAGCACAATTTGATGCAAATAGATGTTTGTGACATAACCTTAAAATAGAGCTCTGACACGGAGAAGTAGAACACTATGACAATCAAGGAGGCCATAAACGCGCCCTACAATTGTAGGTACGACTGACGATACGGGCCTTAAAAAATTACATTACATAAGGAGGATTCCGATCTTTCGGCAAAGAAATAGACATATTTTGGAAAAATCAAACGTGTAGCTACGTAGCTGAGCCACTTGCATAGTCTGGCTAGTATTGCTAGCAATATTGCTAGCAACTCTACTGCAGCTAGATAATCTAGTTAAAACAATAATCTTGAAATGAAAACCCCTGAATACAGACCATCGTGACATCCACGGGAAGCTAGCAAATTGTTCATTATGAACAAAAAAAGCTATTCTTGTGAATTTTGCACTGAAGTTGTATGCTTTTAAAAGTCAGAACTACGAAAAACGCAAAGAGGTCATAAAGGAGTTCTTGGGCTGGAAAATAGGACAACGCTCAAAGAATACATGAGGTCGACCTTTTTGCCCGGTCGTAGATGAAAATTCAAATAATATATCTTATTTAACTCGAAAACAACCAACATTAGAAAAAACTCACAAGTGGCCTTTTAAGTCTGCATGACACATTGAAGAAAAAAAAAACAGAAAATATTATTGCCATTATTTTTGCATCATCGAGTACTAAAATAACTTATTAGTCCAAAAAATTTTAGTTTTACCTACTATTTTTGTCACTAAATTTATTTGGTAGTATCTTTATATTGAGCTGGAGCATTTGCCGCCATTGTTATAAACGCGCGTGACAAAAATCTCAGAAACCACCAATCCTATGTGAAAAATAGTGCAAGCAATTTCTACGGGAATTTTCCATTTAGTCAACAGGCTTCGAGAAATTTTAGGGTAAATGTACTTGTTATGATATTTTCCCTTCTACTACTATGCTACTATCCTTTTTGTAGAAAATCAGATTTTCTACAGAAAAGACCTTTACATTTTTTCTACATCATCATGGTTCTTCAAGAATGAGGAACGAAAGATGAAAAATCGTATCAAAACAGTCACGTGATACTCTGCACGCTACGTATACTTTATCTGAAGTCACTTGAAACACTGTGAAATACCGGGTGCGTTTTATATATCTATATTTAACACGCTCTGTTGCTGCAAAAATCGCCAAATTTCGCAGCAAATATCCTATAAGATCAAAGGCAGTTGCACCGGTCCACGTGGAGTAAAGTACGCCTATGCGTGGACATAGCCAATGAGAAAGCGTGTATTTCAGAGCTCCGAACAAGTGCAGGTGGCTACTGAAAATTGAAACAGTTTAGCCAGTGCTGTGTAGCGGTGTATAAACGTGTTTTCTTTAGTCAGTCGTGTTTTTTCATAGATTTTATTAGTTTGTGTGTTTTTGACTTTTGAATACTCAGTTTACTTGTTGATTTAATTGTTGTGTTGATTGTTCTTGTGTGTCCTAAATATGGCTCTTTGGAGACCTTGGGAAAATGCTCCAAGCCACGAGGAGATGGTTGATGAACCTGTGCAGGCAGAATTCTTTCATAAAGATTTAGAGGAACAGACCCAAAGAGTAATCCTAAATATGTATGATTGTCTGAAAAACGAAAATCCAGATTCCTCGCAAAATCAAATTTTAAACAGAATTTGTATCCTGACAAAAATCAGTCGGACTACCATTTATCGGGTTATAAAAAGGGGAGATGTAGTCAACCATTCCTTCCACAGAAAGCGCATAGGGCAAAAATTAAAAAGAATAGACGTGGGTTTTCAGGAAGATATTCGTCGTATAATATACGGATTTTATAAAGAAAATTTGGTGCCCACGTTGGAAATGATACGGGATAAATTAAAAGATTATCCTGAAGATTTTTAAAATTACAAATGCTTAGACTCACTGCACTGTATTGTAAAACTGTGTGGTTTTCAATACAAAAAATTAGATAAAAGAATGGTGATTATGGAGTCGTCTCGAATCTTTGAATTGCGCCAAGAATTTTTGCACAAAGTTAAAATCTATAGAGGGCAGAAAAGAAATCTGATTTACCTGGATGAAACGTGGTATGATACCCATGATGTTGTGCAGTACGGCTGGGTTGACGACAGCAACAAGTGCATTTCAAATGCACCATGCAACCGTGGAAAACGAATCATTATTCTCCATGCTGGCAGTGAAAATGGATTTATACCTAATGCCTTGCTGTTATCTGCCAAAAATATCAAAGAATCATGTGCCGACTATCATGAGGACATGACCTCCGACTTATTTGAAAAGTGGATAGAGCAGCAGTTAATACCAAACATTTCCCCAAATTCAGTGATTATTATGGACAATGCGCCATACCATTCCCGACAGAAAAACAAAATTCCGAATGCAGGCACAAAAAAACAAGACATTATTGATTTTATGAAGGATAAGGGAATGGAAATACCACAAAAAACAACCAAAGCCATATTATTGGATCTTATTAAAAGACAAAAATTTGAAAAAGAGTATGTTGTTGACAATCTGCTTCAGCAAAATGGCCATGAAGTATTACGTCTACCTCCCTATTACTCCATTTTTAACCCGACTGAGTTGGTCTGGGCTGCTTTAAAAAAAAAGTAAAGAAAACATAATCAGACCCCTCAATTAAGTGAATCGCTATTGGCCACAATGAGAGATGCAGTATCTCATATTGCTGCCACAGACCTATGGAAGCAGTGTTCTAGGCATATTGTTGAAAAAGAAAATGAATATTGTGTTTTGCCTCCTGTAAATCTCGTTGTAATTCCTCTACAAGATGACTCTAGCGACAGCTCCGAAGGCGAGGATGATATATAAATACCTATAATGTAAGTCTTTATATAACTTTTTATATACCTACCTGCTATGTAAATATTTGCCTATGTCAAACGTTGGAATTCTGTAATTTTTCCATTTCTTAACTTTCAGTCAACATAAATTAAACTCCCAATATAAGTATTTTTTATCCCAAATCAAAAAAATAAGAAGATAGTAAAATCCATTTATTGTGATATAAAAACATTATTATTATCGTTCTAAATAAATGACCGCACGCCTATGATACGTCATGAAATTACAAAGGACGCGCCGACCAAAGGTTTTTATTTCAAGTGACTTCAGATAAAGTATACGTTGTCTACGTGTCTTCAAGTCTGTAGGACTATCCAGATATCATACAGAAACCTCATATGAAGGTATAACCACAATCAGTATGTAAATATTATTACCCAGGGTACTTGATGAGAGGAGGTAGAAACATAAGGGGTTCTCCGCCTGAAACTCTCACTAGAAACGCGATGATATAAGCTGCTAGGCTGCCGTACGTGTTGCAGTGATGTTTGAAGTGGACCACCATCAACAGTTGCGGGAACAGGATCACGTACACTAAGTCGGAACACATTGACCTATAAAATATAAAAGAGGTGTTATTACTACGTAGAACGTGACAATCTTTACAGTTCGATATATGAGCAGCACACGGTGAATAAATTGACCTTTAATGATACTTTGGGCTTTACTATACTTAAGTAAAGTTAGAATCAATTATGGTCAAGCATGAAGCATGTAACAACTGTCAAATACAAGTAAATAATGTAAACTAAATAATAAAATAAATTTGCTACGTAGTTCAATATTGCGAATCTAGAATTGTAAACGTCCTAAAATTCTATTTTAGTGGTCATATATCACCTACTTCAGCTATGGAGTCTATAGTTTATTTGATTTTACCAAAAAGTGGCAAACAATAAATAAATGCATTTTAAGATAATCTGATTCTTGAGTATTTAAAAGCTTTCTTTCAGAAAATGCATTTCAACATGTTTGGCAACTCATTGGTCGAATTGGAGTGAATGTATCAGAAGAGAATCCAGAAATAAATTAAGAAGCTGATTTACAGAATTTCGGAAAAAAATGCTTACAAGAAATATGATTTTGATGAATTATCCTTCAAATTCACGAAACGAATTTTTAGCCTACAGCACCGAGACGATGTTTTTCTCCTTTTTTTTCATATTTTTGAGCTCTGGAGTAGCCCGTGACAATACCCATTGCGAGTGCTTGTGAGTGATACAGATATTAGAGTGAATATTTTTTCAAGAACTGTGTTTGCAAGTTCCATAATATCAAGAATAGTTAAGGTACGTTTTCATTAGGTCGAAGGATGGGAGTCAATTTCGGCGATTATTAATAAGTAGTAATCAAATGATTGTTTTACAATCTCTATCAACAACACACTTACACTTTCTAGCCTCCAAAGACACCAAATGGTAACGTCGCATTGCCACACATTACCGCCAAAAATGGTTCAAAACGCACGATGGCAGTTATTGGCCAAATAATACGAACTATGGAATAGAAGCGTCACCACGTTGTCAAAACAGTTTTTACCGAGGAGACATGCAGGTAGTACTTTAGGGATAGCGCTATAGATTTATGTATTATATAGTTCTCACTGTGTTGAGTTCATTCCCAGACGGGACAGCAAGAGGCCTATTTATATCATTGTCCTTCCTTCAGAAGAAAGAATTGCAAGTAACATATTCATATTAATGTTGGCTAATTTTAATCCGTAAGAGTAATCTATAAATATTCACATCAGAGGATTGCAAGGAGACTTCCGATGAAGCCCTAAGTATGTCAATTTGTTTATTCTCGTTGGAAAATTCAAATTTATTTGTTCAATCCCTCTTCCAAATAACACCGAACTTCATCCTTTTGGTTCCATATTCAATGCCATTTGTGCGTCTCCATATTAGATGAGAGCTTATTAATACTAACCATAAGCCATAAATGGATGGTATAGTTAGTGCCATAACTGTGGCCAAGAAGCCTACGATCAGAATGGAGACCCTCATGACCCAGATGATCTCCATTTCGGAAGCCTTCTGCCTGAAGATCAGCTTGTAGACATTTCGGGCGAACATGGAGCTGGCAGATAATACGCTAGAATCTGCTGAAGACATCACCGCAGCTGATACTGCTCCCAATCCGAAGAAGCTGACGAAGCTGGGTGTAAGATATTGCAACACCATAGGTAGAATTTGGCTGGTTTGCTCTTCTGTCAAGGGGTAAGGGCCTTTGTAGTCAGTCTCATTCCAGTCTGGAAAAAATAATACGATAATGTATCATGTTGCAGCTTTTTCAGTGAAATCAGTATGAAAATGATTCTGTTAAAGTTGGCTGAGAACCCACATTTCAATGATTCCCCTTCAACATAGAAAATCTAACACGGCTGAAATGGGCATGTTTGCCTTGCGACTTCGTCGACCGAGATGGTGCGGTGCAACATGCAAAGGTGCCTCTATCGTCTTCGTCGTACGACATGAACACGAAAATCAGCTTAGTAAACCATTGGCGATCATCAGATTTCCACCTACTTGCGCACAATGCAAAATCTACATGTTTGACATTTGAATGTACAGGGCGTAATCGAAGCAGCGGAATGACCCTGGCTTCGTCACGTATTTTTGAAAAAAGATCGAGGTCAGGTCCTTAATAACTTTAAACAAGGAGTCCACCGGCGACCTTACATTTGACTTGAGCATCAACCATAAGGTTATTTCAAGATCAACTTTAGTTTTTTGAACCGAAAGACACTGGCAATCGAAATAACAGAAAATCCATACATTGCTCTTAGACTTTGATACATATCAAAGGTATTATAAAAGATTTTATTTCAAAGCGATGCTCCATCCACGCATCATTGATCCACCGTATACAGGGTGGCTCAGCGAAAATGCCGCATCCCCATTTGTGACTCTCCTGCTATATTTTTGGAAAAACACTAGGACCCTGGAAATCAAAATTGACGTGTACGAGCGTTTTCCCCGAAATATACCAGGAGAATCACAAACAAGGGTGCGATCTTTTTGTTGGGCCACCCTGTATATCTAATATCAAGACTGAAATATGTTATGGCATGCTGCTAATGCAGCTCGTGGCGAATTAATTTTTCACATGTCAGCATTTAACAGTTAAATGTATTGAGCGTTTTTTTGCAAAAACTCTAAATACACCATATTTACGCGAACGATTTGTCGGAGGGAAAAAATGTTTGTTTCATTTTTATAGGAAGCTTTCTGCGCGTTTGAGTACAAAGGTTTTTGAAGAAAAATATACTAAGTGACATATAAATCCGAACACCCAGTTTAAATGGTTTTATTTTAATAAAAGTTGGTGAATGTATTTATCTTACTGTAAATAACAAGTGAAAAAATATTCAGCCTTATCAGTTGGACATTCCGGTTTTTATACTGTTTTTCTTTGATTCACTAACGCTCTAAAAATGAATATTTCAGCCGCAGTAAAGAATCAACGTTGGCGGCTTTTGGTTCTTGACATCCTTTACGATCGGTGACGATGCCTAGAGTACGGAGACCTGTACGATTTCGTCAAGTTATTGAGTTTGATAGGGGCCGTATAGTGGGACTTCGGGAAGCTGGACTTTTTTTTCGGACAATTGCAGTTAGAGTGCAAAGAAGTGTAGACACTGTGGTTAGGTGTTGTCAGGCATGGCTTCGAGAAGGCCGTACGCAAAGAGCAACGGGCACTGAACGCCGCCGTAGAACAACAGACCGTGAAGATCGCCGCCTAAGATTATTGGCCTTAAGGGACCGTTTCTCCACTACCAGGTCCATTGCAAATGAATGGTTTGCAGAACACGGAAGACTTATTGGCATGCGAAGTGTTTACCGACGAATGAGAAGTTTTGGCTTGTTTTCATACCGGCCACACTGGGTCCTCCCTTTAACTCGAGAACACCGACGTAATCGCCTTGAGTGGTGCAGACAACGGTCACTCTGGGATCAGAAATGGAACAGTATTGTCTTTATTGACGAGGCTCGATTTTGTTTAGGCATGCACGATAGTCGTGCCAGGGTTAGAAGGCGACGTGGTGAAAGGAGGAATCCACAGTTTTTTGTTGAAAGACATGTTCATCACACTGTTGGAGTTATGGTTTGGGGTGCTATAGCTTATGGTTCCAGGTCACCTTTAATCTTCATCAGAGGTAACATGAACGCGCAGCGTTATATCCACGAAGTTCTAGAACCCCATCTTTTACCCTATCTTGACACCCTGACAGATCCAACTTTCCAACAAGATAATGCCCGACCACATGTTGCAAGAGTCACAATAGACTTCTTTCAACATAATGATGTCACATTGTTACCATGACCACCAAGATCTCCCGACTTATCCCCAATTGAGCACGTGTGGGATATGATGGGTAGGAGATTGCTCAATTTGCAACGTCCTCCTCAGGCTCTAGAAGCACTTCGAGAGGAGTTGGTGGTTGCCTGGAATGAGATACCACAGGAGGACCTTGACCACCTGATCAGAAGCATGCCTAGGCGCGTTGGAGAATGCATAGCACATCAGGGTGCATCCACACATTATTAAAGGTCAAAGGGCTTTAAAACAGTGCAATCATTTTGAAATTTTTATCATTTACTTATTATGCTTCAAAATTTTATTAAAATAAAACCATTCAAACTGGGTGTTCGGATTTATATGTCACTTAGTATATGTTATGTCCAAACTATGAGCAGAAAACCATGCTAAAGCGTTTTCACAACATCAGCTTAATGTTGCATCGAGAAGTTTTGTTAGCAAGCCTCAAATGCAGATTTTCATATTGTCCATGACGCAATATGCTGGATTATGTAGTCAAGATATAAGTGGGATACTTGGATATTTTTAGAGGAATTTCTCAGAAGAAACAAGGTGGAGTAGATAATGCGAAAGTGTTCATCTTCACATTGAAAGTCGTTGAAAAGATGACAGAAGAAAGTTCTCCAGAGCCAAACGTATGCATATTTTAGTAGCGCCTATTTATAGATTAATGAAAAGTCGATGGTTTGAATGAGTTGAAGGTCACTTCTCTGTACTACACACACTCCCTTATAAAAAAGTAGCGTGAGCCATATCAATATTGACACGGTGGGTCTGATGAGATCCGCCAGTGAACCGTGTTATCTATAAAGGGCTTTTGTATGGTCGTCCCTTAAGGATATATTTTCGTGCACAATTATTATGCTCAAAAACTGTCAACAGACTATCAAAAAATTGACTGAAAATGAACTATATCACTATTGACACACGATAAATATGTCGAGTGACCATTACCAGTTTGTGAAGTTTGCGAGTGTAAAAATGCGAAGTGGATTAAACAAGTACGATATTGGAAAAAACATCTGGGTACTTATTTCGCCATCGTTAACTTTTACTAGAAACTGTAATTTTTGAAGTTACTTTATTATTGCTTCGCCTTATAACACTGCAAAATAGAATATTTAAAACACGTCGGCTCTGTCAGTTTGACAGGGATGGGGTAGCCTAACGCTAAAATAATTTCCAAAGATTTTCCCTGGCAATTCTTGACATAGACATTTTAGAATACTCCGGTTCAAAGTTGTAACTGTCGATGTACGACAAAATAGCACCAAAAGCTCGATAACTTTCGGTGTTAGGCAATCCTGATTTATTTCAGTTTAGATTAAGTGAAATTGATCTCCGTTTTTGAACTTGATTCCAACCATTAAAATCATTGCACGTTGACACCAAAGCAGTACCAAGTGTACAAGCTCTGTAACAAAAACTACACATTATACAAAAAAAATATTCATAAGATATGAATGTCATTAGAAATGGTGAACTTTTAGTGAAGCATGAGCCCCCGTACTGCATGTTTTAAAGGGATAAATCATTGAAAAATTAACTTACAGGTTCCTTTGGCGATGGCTCCAATGAGAACTGGTGGTATGGCCATGAGTACACAACCAAAAGCAGCCACATATGATAGCAACTGAGCCCTTCCTGCTGATTTACTTGACAGCACTCGTTGAAAGTATACCTGCCAGGGAATGCCACCGAAGATCAACAGGAGTCCTATGAAAATAATAAATAAATAAAATTTCAAATGCCTGTACACGCTCATAGAGTGATTATAATAATCTTGTCTTATACAGGGTGTAAACGTTTTGGTAGTTATTATTGAAATGGGTAATAGGGGGGTCAAAACAAGTCAAAAGGTTCATATGACCCACGATCCAAAAGTCAATAGATTTTTGTCTAAATTGCTTTATAGTTTATAACTTTAAGAGTTTTATATTGACCACAATCACTACAATCTTACTAATTTTTATAATCTAATCTAAAACATTTTTAAATTGGGTAATTAACAAATAAATGACATTAAGTTTTTCTAAGTTAAGCCAAAATTTGAAGTCAGTAAGAAAGTTTCATTAAACTGAATATTTAAAACACACTTGACAACAGCGCGTCGGTCATCATCACTCTTATTGAACTCGCAATCGATCGCAAATGGTAACTGTGTGTCGTCAGATTTATTTTACTTTAAAGTCGCTTTTCTCTAAAAAAATGCCGTTTTGACCCCATGTTATATGAAACTTTTTGCTTCTTTTATCACCCGTTTAAATAATGGCTATCATAACGTTTACACCCTATATAGCAATAGGTGGTAAATTCGAATAGAACAGTATCCGTCATTAGCAATAATATAGCTCCTTAGAGTATTTATTGATAAGTGCCGCAAAAACTGTAGCTTTTCTAAACCAATATAAACCAGTAACTTTCGTAGGTTTGCTCCCCTAGTCAAATACTCAAATCCGCCAGTATATTATGCTGTCGTGTGAATCCATTCGATTTGATTGAATCATTTAAAGCTGTAGTGCTAGTTAACTTAATATAGGTGCAGGTGCAAAACAGGTAGTGCGACAAAATAGTAGTGTGGCTGTTGGGTCCATTTACTGGGTTCTTTCCAAAAATTAATTTCTTACAGCCCTGAATGGCCATTCACAATGGAACAGATAACTTGACGCTTATCATTAATTTTGTTTGAATGACTGTAATTGATGATCTCTGATATATACTAAGTGACATATAAATCCGAACACCCAGTTTAAATGGTTTTATTTTAATAAAATTTTGTATAAGTACTTAATGAAGCATAATAAGTAAATGATAAAAATTTCACTGCTTTAAAGCCCTTTGACCTTTAATAATGTGTGGATGCACCCTGATGTGCTACGCATTCTCCAACGCGCCTAGGCATGCTTCTGATCAGGTGGTCAATGGCCTCCAGTGGTATCTCATTCCAGGCAACCACCAAACCTCTCGAAGTGCTTCTAGAGTCTGAGGAGGACGTTGCAAATTGAGCAATCTCCTACCCATCATATCCCACACGTGCTCAATTGGGGATAAGTCGGGAGATCTTGGTGGCCATGGTAACAATGTGACATCATTATATTGAAAGAAGTCTATTGTGACTCTTGCAACATGTGGTCGGGCATTATCTTGTTGGAAAGTTTGATCTGCCAGGGTGTCAAGATAGGGTAAAAGATGGGATTCTAGAACTTCGTGGATATAACGCTGCGCGTTTATGTTACCTCTGATGAAGATTAAAGGTGACCTGGAACCATAAGCTATAGCACCCCAAACCATAACTCCAACAGTGTCATGAACATGTCTTTCAACAAAAAACTGTGGATTCCTCCTTTCACCACGTCGCCTTCTAACCCTGGCACGACCATCGTGCATGCCTAAAGAAAATCGAGACTCGTCACTAAAGACAATACTGTTCCATTTCTGATCCCAGAGTGACCGTTGTCTGCACCACTCAAGGCGATTACGTCGGTGTTCTCGAGTTAAAGGGAGGACCCAGTGTGGCCGGTATGAAAACAAGCCAAAACTTCTCATTCGTCGGTAAACACTTCGCATGCCAATAGGTCTTCCGTGTTCTGCAAACCATTCATTTGCAATGGACCTGGTAGTGGAGAAACGGTCCCTTAAGGCCAATAATCTTAGGCGGCGATCTTCACGGTCTGTTGTTCTACGGCGGCGTCCAGTGCCCCTTGCTCTTTGCGTACGGCAATTGCCCGAAAAGAAAGTCCAGATTCCCGAAGTCCCACTATACGGCCCCTATCAAACTCACTAAGTTGACGAAATCGTACAGGTCTCCGTACTCTAGGCATCGTAACCGATCGTAAAGGATGTCAAGAACCAAAATCCGCCAACGTTGATTCTTTACTGCGGCTGAAATATTCATTTTTAGAGCGTTAGTGATTTAAAAAAAAAGCAGTATAAAAACCGGAATGTCCAACTGATAAGGCTGAAAATGTTTTCACTTGTTATTTACAGTAAGATAAATACATTCACCAACATTTATTAAAATAAAACCATTTAAACTGGGTGTTCGGATTTATATGTCACTTAGTATATTTCTTGTCGGAAATAACCGGCTATACCCTACTGATATCACATTGGACAGCTTGATAAGACTTGAAGAGAGAATGTGAAAACTGATTGATCCCACTGGTTAACAAAAGGTGCGGGCTTTTTAAATGGAGTATCTGAGTGAAGAATTACCAAACAATGAATACTTGTCGAATAAAACACAGTTCCTTATAAAGTGTGTCCTCAAAGTTGGAGCTAACCTTTACACAGGCCATAGACCTTGGAAAGATGAGCAGTTATATCTAGTAACATATTCCCTAATGTCTTAAGATTACCGATATAGGCTCCGCAAAATAAACCAAATCTAAACAAAACTTAATCCGGTCCTGCATCTCGATCAGATCATCGGTACTCAATCCAGACGCTGGCCGCGTTGGTAAACAAAACCTTCACAAATCGGTCCTAAAAAAAGCAAAACAAAAATGGCATACTCATACAGGGAGATGTCCATATTATTTTAATTTACGGCATCTGCGAAATGTTAACGAGGCTCCGCGCGTGCATGCAAATTTCAAGATCATTTGTAATTTTATTTTTTGTTTGGGGCGAAATGAAATTAGTGTATAAAACACGGTTTGCAAATTCATCAAACTGCTTTATTCATTCGAGAAAGGTAGTCTATTCTGAAAGCCTACACTGATGCTTCATTACGAGGAGCAAATAAATATCTTTGAACCTATCGCACAGAACTTTACACTTACAGATGTACTTGAAATTTTTTGTTACTTTTTTGCTGTTGCGTCTCCACACAATAGCTTTGTTATTACAAACGCAGTTGTTCCTGAAAAAGAAAGTCCTAACTTTCAGGACACCCTGTATATCCTGGACAGTTAAAATTAATATCTAGCAAATTAATGTTCACCGATAACGATTTCGTCAGGCATATAAGTGAGATCAATGGCTTTATTTCTGACCAATATCAAAGTAAATCGTGTTGAAAAGCACAGGCAAACAAAGCCAACTATAGACTTTCTATTTACTCGGAGTTTGTATGGACAAGGATATGCAAGCTTGCTGGGGGGTAATCTAGAGAGAGGGAGAAATCTCTCGGATCCGAGTCTCAAATTGGTTCCAGAAGTGTTAAAAAATCGGGATTCTTTTCTGCCCACAGATTTTTGTACTACGAGTACCTACTGTATTTCCCAGGTCCCATTGTATTGTATCTGATGGTATTCATTACGCAGGAATTTGTACCTTGCTCATAGGCAGCTGTCAAGTCTCACCGAGTAGGTTATATTTTTGGAGACACACTGCGGGCAAAAAAGACTCTAGGATATCGTGTATTTTTTGCTAAAAAGACCTGTAAAGCTTCCCCGACTGGAATATGTGATTTCTACTTACATCAAAACCATGCATGTGCAGGTGCGTGTGTAGGTGCAGATGTAAAACAAGAAGTGTCATAATAACCACCAACCATAATCGATATAGGAGAAGATCTCCCTAGACTCAACGCTTCCTATCCAATCGACGTCCATCCCCTTGAGACTCTGCACATGCTCATTGGACCAGGCGAACGGGATGCACATCCACAGACCGATGAAGATGCAGAACAGCTGGATTACGTCAGTGTACGCGACTGCGTACAAACCGCCGAAAAGCGTGTAGAACACCGCCACGCATGCGCTGAAGATGACCGAGGTTCGGTGGTCCATGTCAATGATCACGCTGATCGTCGCACCCAGAGCTGCCAGGATGCCAGCTGCCCAGAATACCTAGAACAAAGTGGATTTATTCAACTTCTGCATACATCAACCCAACTTTTCACAATAACCCAATCAAGTCACTAAAGCCCCGGTTATACTCTGAGGTGACAGGTGGGAGGTGATGGGCCACGCCGCTTGTATCTGCTTTGCCTTGGTGTTAATCTATTCTATTCGTAATGTGCCATTGTCTTTAATATAATACTGACAGTATTATATATATATATATATATATATATATACAACTCTACATCTGCGGCCACAGGTGATCGACAATAAGGACTGCTACATTTTACAAACTAATAGTACAAACTACTGCGGGTTCAAAAAGAGAACAGAGAAATAAGTAGAAGATAATAGAAACCCGCAACTATTTTGCGATTATATACTAACATAGTTGACTTATAAACCTTTTCATTTTTGTTCCATTCTATTTCTTCTTTCTATTGTTTTCCCTTGTATTTTATTCTATTCTACACCTTTATTTCTATAAAGGATCAAAAGATACTTATGGATCTGCTGAACATGAAAGACTACAATGGTGGGATATATATTTTGTAAAACAATGTCACTATTTCGCCCTTCAGCAGAGTTTACTAGAATCATATGAACTTCGTTGATAATTAATATAATTTATCCATCATAAATTATGTTAAACTTTTACCTAAGCTAACAGATTCTAACAAATATGTTTAAACTTTGAGCAAGTAAACGAATTTTAATAATTTCTTCATTTTAAATAAATTTAAAACGGTTTAATAAATTTATTTAAATGATTGTATCTTGGTTTAATTAAACCAGTAAACTATTTCATAAATCGGAGTTTAATTAAACTAATTCGACTAGTTAGCTGTCACATACTTAATTAAAACTCCAAATTAAATTTTTTTCTCGGTGTAATGAAAAAAAATAAACTATTTGAAAATGTTTCATTTTCCTTACTCAAGCGTGTCAGTAAAGAAAAATGAATCTGCTTTAAAATGGTGACTTTTAGAATTAACGCCACGTGAAAACGTGTATGATAACACTAATTTTTAACTTTCGCTCCTTAAAACATAAAGGGCCCTTTAAAATTATACTCTCTACAAAAGATATACGCCCTAGATTAGTTTAGACATTATGAGCTAGAATATTACATGTACCTTCAACTTATCGTAACCTATTGACAATATGCCAAATTTCCATAGGAACAAAATAATGAGGAATTTAATTCCTTACAAAATTGTTGCTATTACTTCTTTACATATGATCGATGGTTTCCGAGGTTTTAGATCAAACGTGTTTATCAAAATGGCGGCAAACGCTCCAGCACTATCGTGGCGCCAATTTGAATAGTCTGACGAAACTACCATAAAAGTTATTGTCTCAAAAATTGTAGGAAAAAATTACCTATTTCCTGACTTAATTGAGCAATGCTTGCCCTTTCACAAGCCTTACAAAACGAAAGGTCAAAGTTCGCACAACCAGAGCTAGTTCTTAGGTTCAGCTACCAAAAGCAGGCAAGCCAAATCCGGAATCAGATATAATGAAGCTGTAGGTCAACGCCAGATCAACTGACCGACAAACCAACACATTGCGCTAAATAATAAATAGGTAGATACAGATCGCAACGGTGGTTTTAATGTGAATAATAACATCAGTGTTGTGGCACAAGTAGCGGGAAGTACATACAAATGGCTGGATACCCCTGGTCTATGCGCCTAAAATGATTTAGTTAAGCAGTTATCTAAGTTCCACGTTCTTCTAAAAGAGAAACAACATCCAAAAATGGTGTAGCTTTTTATTAAAGAGTCGAGGTTGGAAGAAAGACAGCTATAGAGGTATGGTTGTTTACTACTGGAAATTTTGATAGGCATAAGGAATAGACCCAGATTCAATTTATGTCGCGCGACTAAGCTTGACATGCATCTGTCTCTTTCTGACTTCATTACTGAACATGGTTGATTGACACTTTCGCGCGACACGACTCACTACAGTATATTCAGATAAGAGATAGACCGGATGTAAACAAAAGGTTCGGGTGATTTTCACGCTAACGCCGCCGTCTCGACGTAAAACAGGAGCCCTCATTGGTCAATTCGCAATTAAATGCCTATGCCGAGCGGCAGAGCAGTCGTATCAAGGCAGAGTCACATTCAGGTTCAGACGTGTTACGTATGTCGTGTGCATCATTGCAATTTGATATTTCTTTGGACGTTTTCGTTTGTTATCTTATTAAGTTGTTGAGTTTGTCGTTGTTATTGTTATACCTTGTTATTGATTGTTATTGTTATCAACTGCTTGCGCAAAATGCCCAGTAGTACAGATACTGCCGATGAAGTTGTAAACTCCTGTAGTCCACCTAGGAAACGCTCTAAAATAAGACACCTGAGTGCAGAAATGAAAGAGGTCATTTTGAATATATATAAGATCGAGCGCGAGGAGAACGAGGCATCAACCATCAAAGAAATTGTTGTGAAGGTTTCTCACAAAGTTGGGGTGTGTCGCGCATCAGTGTTAAGACAATACAAAAAAATCACACCAGTAAACATCGCAAAAGTATTGTTAAATCATTGGATGAAGCTGATAAGCATGCGACTAGGCTGAAAGTGAATGAATTCTTCTTTAGGAATGAAATACCTACTATAGATAAAGTACTGCAGGAGGTAAATGGAGATACAACGTTGCCAAATTTCAAACGATCAACTTTCCATGCGTTACTGAAGCATTTAAATTTCAAATGGAAAAAACGGGGTCGTAATAGTTTACTACTGGATAGAGAAGAAATTGTGCTATGGAGGAGGGATTATTTAACAAAAATTGGGAAATATAGAAATCAAAACAGGAAGATTTATTACCTTGACGAAACGTGGGTAAACGCAGGACACACTACAAGTAAAGTATGGGTTGATGATTCTGTAACTTCATCCAGGAGGGCCTTTCTAGATGGACTGTCCACCGGATTAAAAAATCCAGCAGGTAAATACGAGTAATAGACAACAATCGGATGTTTTTCAAACCTTGAGAACAAGGTTCTAAACATTAATTCCAGGGGGCAGATAAAACATATTACAAGTAACAAAACTTTTATAACTTTCGATAAAATGCGTGGATGTTTTATTGTCATTTTCATTTGTTAGAACTTTTTTAAGCCATGTTTTTATGTGTTTTCGATATTTCAATAATTTTTTAATATAATCTTAAAATATGTCGAATATTATAAACTTAAAAAAAGTTACTAAGTTTTATATTGTGTACCGTTCCTAATATTTTTAATCATTTTAATTCATACTTTAAGCTTTATAAAGTTATAATTTGTTAATATTAATATTTGCGCGTATTTCAGGTTCCTGATCATTCATTTTTTAAAGGTTTATAACTTTAAATTAAATTGTGAAGCGCTGAGTAATCATACGACGTTCAATATTATTTCTTTCAATGTGACTAAATAATCCCAATTATAGCAATCTGATACTCATGTCTCAATGTTTTTTCGCTGAATGTGATGAAAACATTTGAAAAAGGTTCGCTTATTGAAATAAATCTACACCAGTTAGTACTTCGATTTCCAGGTAAAGGGAAAAGGCTCATTATCTGCCATATTGGCAGTGAGGATGGATTTGTTGTTGACGGTCTGTGGTGCTTTGAGTATAAGAAAGCTGGAGATTACCACGAGGAAATGAATGGCGAATCGTTTGAACAGTGGTTTTCAAAAATTTTACCGAACTTAGAGGAAAACGCAGTAATTGTGTTGGATAATGCGCCTTATCCTTCTCGAAGAATGGAGAAGGTCCCAACAACGGCTTCAAGGAAAGTTGATGTTCAAAATTGGCTCCGCTCGAAAAATATCAACTTTGAAGAAGCAATGCTGAAAGTACAATTATTAAGAATTGTCAAGGATCACAAGGCGGAATATCAAAAATACGCCATTGACGAAATGGCAGCAAGTCAAAATAAAACTGTGCTCCGTTTACCTCCATACCATTGCGAGCTCAATCCCATTGAGCTCATATGGGCAGAGGTTAAAAATTATATAGCTAAGCACAATACAACTTTTAAATTTTGTGACCTCAAAGGACTTTTCAAAGAAGCACTAGAATTAATAACAGCGCAAAAATGGGAAAACTGTATTAAGCACGTGAAAGACAAAGTTGAAAAGAGAATGTGGGAACTGGACAATATTTAAGAGGAACAAGTCGAGCCATTCATTATTGACGTTGGTGCTTCAGGCAGTAGCGATGATGAAAGCTCATCAAGCTCATCTTTCCAATAAAAGATGTCGTTCATCAAATTCGGTAAGTTATAAGTAATTATAGAGCTACTGTATTTTTTAATTAATTATTGACATTTTTGAACCCATTTTGGCAAAACCTATTCAAGAATCTACTTTCTGACAATGTTCAACCATGCACATTTTTTACGTTTTGAACGTTTTAATTTGGTTACATATTTACCTAGAAATCAAAAAATATACTAATCAATATTCTAAAAGCAATTTTAAGAGATATACGATTATTTTTAATTTAGGCTAATTTAAACGCCATTTTGAGATTATATTCGACTGTATTTCACCAAACATCAGGCGGCATCCGAAGCTGGAAATCGAAGCGAAAATTTTGAAACCCTTATGTATATTTACATCATTATATATTTCTTACCCCACTCCCATATGATCCTATATCCATCACCAATCGTATACACATCGAATTGTGCTAATTTACTACAAAGTTACGCAAAGCAGCATCTACTATCTAAAATATGTACTGCGTGACTCTTAATACGTCCCTGCCGAATGTTACAGCGTTCGATGATCACGTGGTCTTGTTTATGTCCGGTCTATCTCTTATCTGAATATACTTTAACCTTGTCTTCAATGTACGTATACCTCATCTGGTTAATAAAACGCAAGCGCAGACAAATTGATGGAACTAAATAACATGACTTTTAGTTATATATCTGTTTATCCCTACGGAGCATTTATAAATGTTTCTTAAGATAAATGGGCAACATTTTTACTGCATTATGTAGCTTCCTATGTTTGATATTCGAGATATATTTTCGAATGGTTGTCAGACTGTCGGAAAATAGGAATCCTTATGTAGCCTACCACGAAGCGTCTAATTTCGTCTGCATTCTTGCCTGATTTTGTAGGACGTCTGATGACAAATTCTGGCACACCTATGTGTCAACACACTGCAGACAATATTTATTTATTTATACATATATTGCCAAGATATAGCCGAGATTTATGGCCAAGCCATAGTCTGCAATATTTTGATGACGGCTGGCCTATAGTTGTCACAGTTATAGCCAAATATTGCAACAAAAATATAACTCGTTTGGAGGTTCCATTAGACACCATTTTTATATTAATATTTAAAATTTACTGACGCTTTTATTACGTGCATGTAGAATTAATCAGAATCATTCATAAACATCCTATGGTCAAACGAATACCTCTTTGTCGAGTCCTTGTAAGTGATAGTATTATACCCAGTCGCATCTATTTTTAACCTTAGCTCCTCTCACAATGCTTTCACCTTCTTTCTAAGCACAGTATTAATCTCCAATAAAAGTTCACTTTGATCTTCGACCTCAGAAATATATGATGTTAATAGGTCAGCCTATAAATACCTAGTAAGTAAATATACGAAAATCGAAATTTGTATAAACTGTTGGCCCTACAGCGTTCTGAAGGTAAGTTTGTTACATCAACAAGAGGTTATTGCAACAAATGTGAGATATGACACATTTGAGTGTAACTTCCCCTGCTTTCTTATCTATCTGTTTAGGAAAATATCCAAACACTAAAAATACTCAGCAATCACATATTTGTTTAAATTCTAGCAAATGTTTCATAATATTGTGAAAGATATAACAATTTAATGTATTATGAAAAAACGGTGATCGCTATTTGAAGTTGAATATAAATTGCTTTTTTGATTTTTTCTTACCTTTTTAAAATCGTTTTCCAAAGTGAAAGGTTGTCAAATTTTGGGTGTTCATGTATTTTTCAGGCCCTACAGAAGGGCATAATGTTTGAACCACTTATGTCAGGTTGGCCAAATGTATGAACGTGATTTCTGATTTAAAATAAGATCTACACAAATGTGGTGTTTAAATATTACTTTATATTTGAGCTTACAAACTTGACCTCCAAATGACCTCTGAGGCCACCATCTAGGTCATATTTTTTAAACTCAAATTATTTTTTTGATACCATGAAACTTTTGTTGAATCTTTTTTTTTAATATCGCGTCATTGGCGAGTATTCGAGGTGTTCGGATAGTTGTTAGATACATTCATAACTTGTGTGAGTGCATCGGACACATGTTTGAGTAAGCTATCATCGAAACTATATCGAAAAAACATAAACATGTTTGCAGCTTCTAATTCTTTGAGCTATTACTGGAATCCCGGAAATTGATTTTTTATGCATTATTATTATTCTGTAAGATGGATAAATAAAGTAAATATAGTTCTTACCTCTCCACAGAGTGCAGGTAAGAACAGCAGACCTCCCATCCTCTCTCCGAACAAGTCTTGCAGTGGATCCAACATGGTGATGTAGCCTTGCTTTCGCATCTTGTTGGCAAAGAAAATTCCACCAAAAATGAGACTAAGGGAGTATCCAAAAGGCGCCTGGCACCACACCAAGCCCCTCGTGTATATCGCTTCAGCTGTTCCATTTATGTAGCCTCCTCCGACCCATGTTGCTATAAGTAGAAAGGCAAACATTGTTTAAGTTGCAACTGAAAGGCTAAATACCTCATATCCACTATACTAACAGTGACATTTTTTTACCGAAATGAGACCTTTCATTTCAGAAGTGGTGCCGAAGCGACACTGGCGAGGGGACTGATATACAGGGTGTTGTATACCCCGAAAGCGCAAATTCGTGGTTTCTATACTTTGATGTATTCGGTCGCTTCTAGAAGTTTCTCTGTAACATTTTGGCTTCTATTTGTTGCCAATGCTATCCATGTATTGAGTCAAAACCCGCCAACCACATAGCTCACGTTATTCGGGATTTTTTCCACGATAGTCGAAAGTAAACATGGTACGCGATTTATTTCGACTGCTTCACTTTATTGCACGGGAATGAAACTCATCGTGGCGAAAGTACTAACTCATATCTCTCTTTTAAGAAGTGGTGCCCAAGAGGCACCACTTGAGGGTCCTGGCTATTGAGGGCCGCACAACTCGCAAGGCCAAAGCTATTTTCTATCATTCTGTATCCAAAGTGATTCAAGCAGTGTTCGCATTGAGTATTTTAACTTGGGTTTCAGATTCAACTACAGCAAATAAAAATAGCAGTACTGGTCGATCTAGATTTCCCATGTTTTAGTTTGTGTGTATTTTACAATTTGGTAATGTTTGCTAGCCATAACTTCTAAAATTACTTATAACCAAGCAGAAATATTTTTTCATTTGAAAGTCCCATTGGCGTCATTTATTAAATACCGAAATACTCAATTACATGGTTATAGTCGCCTCTGGGATTCTTAGGTCAAATGTAATACTACTATATACTATATAATGGCTTCATATAGTTTCCTCAGTCATTTCAATAATCGATAAGAAACTTAAAAGATCTTTCAATAAAAATAAACTTGGATATCACCAACTAAGCCGATAAGATGCATAAGTCCATATAAACGTTTTTTTCAGTTTAGTGAGATTTAAGAGCTAGTATCTTACAAATCTCAATGTCCGTGTGATATATTTTATTAAATTTAGGCATTGCGTTCGTAAAAAGTGGACCTACTAAGTCCATTCCTTTAAAGATACACTAAAAGCCTATCTAGCTTCACTGGATTACGAGATATAAGCATATATGGTTTTAATATTTAATTATTGTCCAGGAAAAGTACAGTGACTCGTGGAAAAAGCTACACGAGTTTGATAAATAAGATGAATTCCTTGTGACTTCTTTGTTTTGCTTCTCTGATCTATATTTACGACATTACATTAAGAAAGGAAGTGCTTTTAAGAATTATACATTTCTGCTATGTAGCAGACTAGAGACAATGTTTCCTTTATGAATCAAATTTTTGTGTAAGAGCTCTGTTGATTTCTGCCTCAAGCTGTAAAATACTTTATACATACAAAGGTATACACAATTTTAATGAAAACAACACCTCATACGAAAGAAGACAGAAGCAAAAGAAACAAAAACTTGTTACATTGATTTATGATGTTGACCAGGGAAGTCTGATCTCATTTTCTTTCGAGAGCCATTAATATCTCGGCAGGGGAAGTCGATTTTCCAGGACAGCTCGCTAAAAAGTCAAATATCTCTCCCTAACAAAAAATTTTACCTCGTTACTTCGGATTGCGTATTTTTCTTTGCAGGGTTTCATAAATAGAAAAATAATGGGTATTCTTGAATATCATCATAGTCCTAGCTTCTATCTGTAGAGGTAATCCATTGATTTTTAAGCAAAGATATTATAACTTACAAAAAGTCATTTCAACCATAGATGTGTTACATCCAACACCATGATAAAACCCGTAATAAGTAACGTCCTTTTCGCTAATTTTGGACACTTGTAAAAACTCACAAAGCACAGTTTTTGTAAGTTGTCCACCTTACTTCTTACTTATTTAAAACTGTATTCTAGTAGACAGGATTCTATACAGATTATAATAATGTTTTCCCTGTCATTATAACTAGGAGTGCTAAGGATGGGTAAAACTGTTTTTTACATTTCAGGACTTTAGGGAAGCAATGTAATGAGATAAACTTTTCGTATTTTCATGTTTGAAGTATTTGTCATGGTCTTGAAAGTACATACTACGTTGTCCGTCCTACTAAAAAATAGCATCAAGTAGGTTGACTCTGCATTTCCTACACAACGCCGTCATCAGTTCATAAAGGATTAAGTTCAGCAGAAGTTAAAGCCTCTGGTGGAAAATTAGTTACAAACAAATAAAATAGAGAAATTGAATGGATCAAGGTAGTCAAACAGGCCCATGCAATTAGCCCACAGACATACTTTCCCTGCCCTACCGGTAGTTACCGTCCATCTGGCAACGATGCTTCTCCCAGATCGTCAGCCGTGGCAGAGCCCTGCGGAAGCACCTCCGCTAGTAATGTGCTTTCTAGTTCATTTTGGTGAACTAGTTGAGGTCACGCTCACTAAAACGAACTTGTTCTAACTCTACTGCTAGTTCGCGAATAAGTATTTGGACGGATAATCTCTTCGAAATACCTCGTACTATTTTTTTTGTATTTCTTTTTTTTGTTATTCTGGATGTTTGAAATTTAAATTACTGTCATTGGCATGGTAGATGTATCTATGAGATATGATGATTGAACTAGTTCGTTCGCGAATTATACACCACTAACCGTAGTATGAGTACAGAAGTCAAGCAGACTGTTACGCCAGACTCTGAGCCCAGATAGCAGGAGACTGTATCAAATATTTCTCCATCATTCTAAGTTTTAAAGACAAATGTATGGGAAAACCTATGAACTGTGAAATATTGTGGTGCGTACAGTTACACAGTTTTTTTGTCCCTAGCGTAGAGGGGCCCATCATTACCAGACAGGCCGACAGATAGACACACTGACAGACAGACCAACAGACCGACCGACGGATATAAGTGGCATGGTTTTTCGTGATGTGCATGTCATATAACATCAAAAAACATAATACCTCACTTTCGAAATTTTTCGCTATTTCAATATTCGCCGCTCAGTGGCGTAGGAAGTACAACGCAACACACTATTCATATAACAGTAACTCCAGGATATTAACACCCCTCACTTGGATTACAAGACTACCACCTGATAAGCCCGAAAAAGATTGCGCTACGTCAAACAAAAAAGAGCACCTTGCCAAGAACACCAGAGCAGAGGGTTATTCATATCATTCAAATTTTATGTACTTTGTGAGCCTTAGTGGGGATCCAGGAAAGCGCTGCCGACGTTGCCTCTGAACAGGCCCCTATGGTAATATTACTTCAAACAAGCCGTAGCCTGTGGTTTTATTTTCTAGATTGTTGAGACATGGCTATTAATTTTTTGCATTAGCTTAATTAATCTCGTTCATGATGAACCAATGGATTATCTAGTATACTGCTTACCTGTCATAGTGAATATCCCGACGAACAAGCCGATGTTCCGGCCTGCCAACATGACCTCTTCTTCGGAGTCATTGCCCTCTTCCTTTTTTCTTCCAGCCCAGATGCCGACGCCCAAAATCAAAATGTAGAAAAGAATTATAGATATCACTCCTGCTATGTTAATCATTTTCTAAATCTGAAACAAAAAAGGTCTGTAAGCTCAAGTATCCGCATATCAGTATCATATCAATGTGTACATAAAATGCTAGGCTCCTTCAAAGAAAAACAGTGACCAATTGAGTGCGTGAGTGGACATGAAAGACCCGGGTACAGTGGACACCTTAAGCATTCTGCTATTAATGCAAAAATCTTAATTAATACAGAATCAATTAAAATATCTGGAACGACTCATTATTCAATCGTTTCCAAAAAGTAAACAATAATTCTTAGCTGGATATAGCTAGCAAGCGCAATATGATGAGATATAACAATTGTCGAGGAACTAAATGAACAAAATTGTCATGTCGGCTGAATCAAATAATAATCAATGAATCAATCAATCTCCCGTATTCAGAACCCTTCTTATGTCATCGCTGATAGTGCGCATTTTTTTATCATTTTGAAGTTTTGAATGAATTAAATAAGGCTTGATTCTTCTCATATTTATGTATTGTCTCCAATAAAATGCTAGTCAGGACATTTGCCTTATCCTCTTTGCACCGAGTCACTTACTTTGGGGTATCTTCGATTTGTGTCAAAAGCGTTCGTTCAATGTTTTTAAATTGTTTGACTGATCATGTCCTTTCAAACAAATATCGGATAACTTGAAAAACCGTCCTTGAATTCAGAACACATGAAAATATTTTTTTATCTTGATAAAACACGAATTTGATGTCTAGTCGCCGAAGAGTCACAAGGATTCCCCTACAATTGATTTCCGATAATATTGTAAAACTTGAAAAACTATCTTATGAAGACCTATTGATGGTTTGGATGTAAAAGAGGAAATTCGATTTGCTCGGGTTTCCTCTACGAACAGTTAAATAGATTGTCAAAGATCCTTTGACGCTTATTGAAATACCTTCAAATTATTTAGCTGTTGTCTTCAATTAATAAATCACTCATCACGGCTTTAAATATTGAGAATTGTATAACATTACAAAAACAGTGTCGTCGATGTAACGTGATTACTAGTATGAACACCATGAGAGAAGTAAGCTTCAGACTTCAGACATCAGCGATATGCTTTTGTCCCCCGATGCCAACAAAACTTTTCAGTTTAACATCATTGTTACCACCTTATCTGTCTCGAACGTTATATAACCGAAAGCCCCCCGTGGAGGCTCGGGCCCCAAAGCCTAATTTTATGAGAAAAAAAAACTTCGAATCCTTGCGATATAAGAAAATATGTTGGCATAATGGCTATAATGATGGAAATTGCAATAATGCGCAGAAGTTTTATACCATCAAAACATAGACGAGCAAGCTACATGTGCGTGCGCTCCACTACGCCATGAGTTTCAGCCTAAGCTACTATTTACACTGGGAAATAATGGGATTGCAGATAATGCCTTATGAGAGGGGTCCACTTTAGGACTCTTTTCATGGCTTCCATACAACATGCTTTTCGTATAGTTATACTCAAACCTTCCTCACAAGATCGTAACTCTGTTGAAAGCAGGACACACATGCCAAACTTACTCTAAAAACTAACGTGTGAAGCTCTTATAATCTCATTACTCGGCATTTTCGGTTGATAATTTCTTCAGATGGAATATGTTATGAGAAACCTTCCGACCCTCTTCAAAAGGTAACAATAGAAGGGGTGGCGAGTTGCCCTTCCTCAATTCTAGACGTGCACCTACCTACATTGAGACGAAGCGATGCGAAGGGATCCGCGGCGACATTTTTCATTTGTCTTCGCGTCTCTCCAGTGTGCGAGGAGCCATTTTATTATGCTTTTATTGTGATTTTCCTAAATCCAACACGACATGCCTTATTTATCTTTATTTAGTTAGGCTATATTATCCCTGTATGCAATAAACGTAATCCCAAAAAAACATATGCATAAGGAATTATTACTTTCGATCCCAAGAACAATGCTTCCAACAGCCGTTATCGTTACTGAAGTTAACACAGTAGCATCTCAAATGATGCATCCGTCCTAGGCTTCCTTAATATAAAATAAAAGTACTTAAGTTTGTCATAAATATACCCTGAGGTGGTAGTTGTGGTTGTTGGCGTCGTGTTATATATGTCACTAATAATATATGTCCATTATTCGGATTCCATGGATTAAAGATACAATAGAGTAGAATAGATTTATTAGATATATGATGTAATGATGCATAGCTTCGTCGAGTGTACTTTGACAGGTTGAAAAGTGTTCCAACAACACATACAAATACGTAACATAATAATAACAGAGCAGAATAAATAAAACATGAACAAAGAAGATATACAGTTACAAAAACATGTGAATTATTAAGATATACATGAAAACATTTATAAATCAAGGTTGCTAACATCTAAAGATTACAAAAGCGTTTCTGGAATAGAACAGTTTTTCATAAATATTTGCAATATTTTTTTTATTAGTGTATCTGGTAATAGGTTAAAATAGTGAATTTCGGTATACCTGGGGGACTTCTTGGAGAACATAAAGGTTTCTTCTACTTCTATTATGATGGTCACAAATATCACAATGTCTTTTGAAAGTAGCTAAATTCTGCTTATTTTATGCAAGGAATTTAAAAATATATAAGGTACCTGTACCAAATAAGGCCACATTAACGTTTGGATAGCTGTAACTGCGTAAATATTTGCGAAACGACCTTGAAATTTTAAAGGTATTATTGTAGATATGTTTATTACACAAGCTACATCGGAGAACTCAGAGACCTTTTCTTTTCATATAAAAAAAATATATTTTTCGAAACACTACCGTTGGCCTTATTAGGAACCCATGTATCCAAATAAGGCCACCATCTGGTTTTCAATAAAACCACAATCAAAATGTAAATCAAGACTGTATAATAAACGAAACTATATTTCTAATTAAACAAAATTAAAAAAACACTTAAATCTAGACAGATTTAAATAAAAAACAGTCAACTTGTTTAAATAAAATCATACAGAACCTTAGATTTTGCCTTCGCAATGATGACAAACAAATGATACTTTATCACCTCTACACAAGCCTACACATTCCTCATGGACATATCTTAAGCATACTACACACAGACGCATGTCACGTACTTCATCCTTATCGCATATGAAACAGTACCAGTTTTCGTCTTTTTAACGGTTCCAGACTCACTAGATTTTTTTATTGTTTTATCTAAGCCGGATGGACCTGGATTTGGGTCTTTAACCAAATCTCTTACGACGATTTGCGCAGTAGAATTGATAGCTTTTCGTCTTTTTGTGGCGTTGGCCTTCCATTCGGTTGTGGGAAGTACTTCCCTGAAACTTAGATCCAATTGATCACTGTCTATTTGACCAGTCACAAGATTTGTTGTTTCAAGAACTGCAAACTTTTGAGTCGAGTTTATTTCTTTTTCATCAGAAGTAGCTGTTATCTGAAGTTCCGTTGGCCATCAGTAGTGCAAGGGGTATGTCATCAGATTCTGTAAAGCTGACATCATGGTTTTCCTCATTCTCCTCCTGAACATCTGTAGCTGCCGTATTTGAATCGGGCCTCTCTGACATTAAACTAGGTGTAAATGCAGTCTCCAGGATCGCAGCTGGGTCGTGTGGGTATATTCCTGTTGCGCGAAATCCTGACTGAAGATTTTCAGAAGACATGGCCCTTGGATACACTTTCCTCAAAATTTCTCCAAATCTTGCACGATTCAACTTTCTGCCAGGATACCGCTTGTAATGGTTAAGTATTTCATTTTCCCAATGATATTCGAAACTGCGGAAAACACATTTATCCAGCGGTTGCAGCACGTGTGTCGTGTTACTCGGAAGACACAATAAAGTGATGTGATGTTTTTCGGCGGCGTCAACAATAGTTGCATCCAAATGAGAAGAGGCACCATCAAAAATGAGAAGAATATCTCCTGGTGGCTTATAGTTTGCTAGATGGTCTAGCCATTTAACAAACACTGCTGCCGTCATACTTCCTTTTTGGGTCATTTCAATTACTGTTCCGGTTGGCATATTGTCACCCCATTCATCCTTTTTACGTTTTCCCTTGAACAGGACCATTGGTGGTATTGCCTGTCCAATAGCATTTCCACATGCAACTATTGTGGAATTTTCTGCGTGCTCATTAGCTACATAGTGAACACGTCTTTCACCTTTCCTCGCCAACACATTTGGTTGGCGGTGGATGGTGAGTCTGCACCCCTTCTCATCTACATTGTAGATACGATGCGGCTGATTGATTAGGTTTAGTCTAATCAGCAAACTTTCTAGTTTTTTGAAGTAGTCGTTTACAATGTACTTATTTACTTTCTGTGCCCTAGCTGGATTTAAAACCTGTGCTTTCCTTTGGCGAATATTTTCATGTCTGTCCAAAAACAACTTCAACCATTTTCTACCTGCCATTCCACTATTTTCATTAAATGTGTGACGAATTTTTTTGTCATTAACATAGGAAAAGACGGATTTTCGAAAAATCTTTGGTGTAAGGGGCATTCCTGTATCCGATAATCGGATTATCCTTGAGCATAGTTCATCTTCCTGCTCTCTAGGCAAAACTGTACGAGTACCAAGTTTTCTTTCTCGCACACCTGTACGAACATGATTGCGAAGTGTTCTTCGTGGAATTTGGTATTCTTTGGATGCACGATTTACCGACGTTCCACTGTTTATATTATCCAGTGCTTGTACAAGCGCTTCGGTTGACCACAGCGCCCGTTTCTTAGAGGGCATATTTCGACTATAGTCTCTGAAAAAAATACATCTTAATTTAAGACATCTGCCGTAATGGCCAGCTTGTTCCCAATAAGGAAAAGTGGCCGTAATGGGAACCGTTTATCATGGCCTTATTAAGCACATATAACCTTAAAAATACAAAATATTTAAAACCTGGCGACGACAAATAACTAGCTGTGTATATTCTATAGACCTACCTGATTGAACTGACAACAGATTTCGCAAAAAGAAGCAGACAACATGAAAAATCGAAGACAAATTTAAAGTAGTAATTTTGTAAGGCACGTGTTGAAAATCGACACTGGCCAA